GGAGACATAGGGGGTATAACCTCTCATGTTGTGATGGTGGGTTCCGATTGTATTATACTTTTATAAGTCGTTGGGCTTTCCTTTTCTAGAAACAGGTTCGCGTGCTAGGGGAGTCGAACTGAGGCTCCGCAAGCGGGTGCAGGTAAACACCGCCAACTGCGATGGTCGCACCGCTATGCATCTGGCTTCCTCGGAGGGCCGTGAGCAGGCTCGTGGGGATGGGAGGTGTGTGCAGCAGCAAGCCCTGACGGCACCCCAGTTTAGGAAAAAGGGTTTAGGCTTTAGGGAAGGGGGGAGGGGGGATGGTGCAGGGCTTAAGGGCCACTGCAGGTGTTTAGTCGAGCAGCTGCATGTTGAGTGAGACGCATGGACATGCGACAGGCTCCTTTTCCCTTCCAGATGAGAGGGTCAAGCATGTGGGGGTTTGCCATATTAGCCCCCTAAACCCTAAACCCTAAACCCGGGGTCCTTCTTTTTCAATGGGATCCTATTATTTGAGGGTCTATTTAAGGGGTCCCTTCTCATCGTAATCCACCATGTATGTTTGAATTTCTACACATATGGTACGCATATCTGCTTTCCCTTTTCTACAAAAGGGCACCTCCAAGACAAAGCTGCATACTCAAGTGGCAGACTGACTGCTTCGCCTCTCTTTATGGCCACCGCATGCTGTTGAGAGATCCTAAAGTCTAACCTGAACTCTTTGTCATGGGCCTTAGAGATTTTTTGGTTTAGGGTTTAGGGTTTAGGTTTAGGGTTTAGGCCTAAACAAGGAAAATGCCGCCTGTAGAATGGAGAGCCAGGCAGGAAACATCAGCGCAACCAAGCGCTGTGTTTTGCTTGGGTGTTGTCACGCCGCAAATACCAACAAATCAAGGGGCTAAGACTCGTACAAGCACTCCTTTGGCTGTGCCCTTTAAATGTCCCCCTTAATCTACTCCTACTAATGGCCCTTATAGTACCCTAGGAGTCTTCTGAGAAGGGGTCCCCAAGACCTGAGGGTACCACCTAAGTAGTCCAAAGTAGAGCCCCTTGAGCCAAGTGGCCGTTGTGTACCCGAGGTCATGAAGCTGCTCATTGAAGCTGAGGGCAACGTTAACATGCAGGAGAGGCGGTAGGGTTTAGGGTTTAGGGTTTAGGGTTTAGGGGTTGTTGTGGGACATGTGCAAAAATTTGTTTTCCTTCCCCCTTTGCTTCCGAGACACACCCGTAACCAGTTTACGAGACTGTCCGGACTTTTCGTGACCAGTCTCTCAAGCAGCACGTCCACCCAAAACGGATTGCGAGCACAAACTGTGGAGGAGATCTTTGCCATACCCTCAAGATTCTCACCCTCTTGAGGTCAAAGGCATCGATGATGTGTGAAATCGCAGTAACCGAGTTGACCGAGGCTTCAACCTGGCAGTTCATTTCTAGCCTTGGTAGCCCATCGGCACCCTTTTTCCCTTTTTTTGGTTCAAGGTTCCCTGATAGATTCGCCAACCAAAAAAGGATGCCCTGATTACAATATGGTTTCTGGGGTACCAAGTAGCTGACATCTATAAACTCCACATCACCACAAAAACCCAAGGTGGGACAACAACCCGTCTGCTTCGACGTAGTGCCCACTGCCGTGTAGGGCAGGGACCCTGTTTTTGTGGTCCCGGGGCCCACTGACAGCCCCCGACTTCTCAAAGGCAAACACGCAACCCTCGGCTCCCGCGAACGACCCCCAAATCCTACATTTTGACGTGGAGCCAGCTTCAACTCAATCAAAGTTCCCAACCCAAGTGCACCAAGTCAAACCCCCCCGAATTTCCCACAGGATCGGTGGAAGGGCTCGCCACTGAAAGATGCGGTACTGGGGAAATTCGGGGCCGTGACAGTGCCTTGGATCGCCAGGGGGCTTAAGGCTTATAGGCTTATAGGGCTTGAACTGTGCCCTGGATCGCATTGTGTTTAGGGCCTGAGGAGAGGGTGGGTTAGGTCCTCTGCACAGTAGCGATGGTCTTGTTCCGGAAATTCTGCTAGGGCCGCACTTAGCTATGTTCAGGGTTGTTTAGCTTCTCAGGACACTACTATGCTAATGCGGGGTCTTGACCTTATTCAGGCCTTGCATTTGGTGTTCAGGGCGTCAGTCTTACTTGGGAGCAGTAGGCCATAGTAGTGCCTTGAGCACGTAAGCGCCCAACAGGTTCCTTAAAGCTGGTGAATGCCGGGCTTCATCTTCTCCTCAGTAGCTACTACTATTTGCTTGAGATCCCCACATAAACTAACAAGTATTGTTCCTTATGAGGCCCTAAAGGGATGGCATTTTTTTTTTGGGGGGGTGGGAGGTTTTTAAGCAACTAGTAGGTTACGGTTGCTGCCGTCTCGAGTTCCTCCTCCGTGGTGGGCGCAACAGCCAAAATCGCGTAACTCATGGTCGTGGTACTGAGTACTGCTCTCGTCGGTATCCTGCAGATGCACCATGCGCACTCGCTTCTTTCTGTCATTGCCACCTGCCTTTTGGAGGAGGCAAGAAAGCCTTGAACCCTACACCCCTAAACCCTAAAAGACCTTAAAGCCCCAAACACAAAAAGCCTAAAATCCCCAAAAGCCCTAAACCCGAAAAACCCTAAAAACCCTAACCCCAAAGCCCGTTAACAAGGAGCTGCTGGTGGAGCAGCAGGCGGATTTGAACTTGGACGACCCGGCCGCTTGGGTCTAATTATGCCTCTAGGGGCTTCAGGCATTGGTAGGGAAACATTTAACCTTTCGGGGTATATATATATATATATATACAATCCTACCAGAATTGAAAGGATAAGCTTTTTTGGCCCAGGATGCTCCGCAATTAGGTAGGGATTCTAGGCAGGCTTGAGGGTTTTTGGGTTCAGCGCATCTTTCCGTGGGGTTAGTGATAATCATGCAAGCAAGGGTCAAGTTTTGGGTTCCGAGTTCCAATGGCCTGGATGGATTGACATCAGGGTTCTTTTGTGCAGAACTCTGCAAAAGTTCGGGGAAGTTTGGGCAAAGAAGTGCGTCACTAGGTCTCGGGAGCTGGGGGTCTTCGACTCGCTTCGCATTACTTAAACTGTCAGAAGCTAGCTAAACCCTAAACCCAAAACCCTAAACCCCACACGCCCACACTAACTACGCCGGTCTGTATCAGTCCGGGCTTTACCTGCAGAGCCTACAGCCTAAGAGGCGACGGCGCTGTGCGATGCGGCAAGCAGTGGCAACCTGGTGGCTCTGAAGGAGCTAATAGAGGCCACGCGTCGATGGGTTAGGGTTTAGGGTTTAGGGTTTAGGGTTTAGGGTTTAGGGTTTAGGGTTTAGGGTTTAGGGTTTAGGGTTTAGGGTTTAGGGTTTAGGGTTTAGGGGTCTTGTGTGGGTTTAGAAGCCCGACAAGGTCTCGGGTTCAGGGCTTCCGGTGGGGATCAAGGCTTTGTGGTCTGCAGTTTTCAGAGATCAGAACTTAGTTTGGGGCGCAGGCCCCATCGGAACCCTGAGAGCTAAGCTTCCGCCTTCTAGGGGTTTTGTTGTGCGGCAGTTTCCCAAGATGTGGCACTAAGCCCTAAACCCTAAACCCTTCCCCCAAACCCTTGAAGCGAAGAAGTAGAAGGCACTCCCACCCCCTCGCCCCCCCCCGCTCCAACCCCTCAACTTGGGATGTTCCCCCTTGTACTGAGGGTCCTTAGTAGGGAGTAGAGTACACCCTATTCTCCCTCCCTTCTAAGGACCGTTAGTAGTATAAGGGGAACATCCCAACCCTAAACCCTAAACCCTACACCCTAAACCCTCAACCCTATAAACCCTAAACCCTATAAACCCTAAACCCAAAAACCCTAAACCCTAAAACCCTAAAACCCTAAAACCCTAAAACCCTAAACCCTAAACCCTAAACTCCCCTTCGGAAGGTGAAGATTAACCCCGACTCCGGGGACTACGACCTCCGCACGCCGCTCCACCTCGCCGCCTCGGAGGGTAAGCTGGAGGCGCGCCTATAGGGTTTAGGGTTTAGGGTTTGGGGTTTGGGGTTTAGGGTTTAGGGTTTGCCTAATACCCTAAACCCTATAGCTTGTCTATGTACACTCACGTTTATCTATCTATCTATCTATCTATATATATATATATATGTGTATATTTATTGTTTAGGTTAATGCACTTTAAGAACCCAAGATCTATTTTTCTAGGATCTATGTATGCGTGTATATGTACATATAGTAACACACCTTCAGCACCCAAAACCTCTTAAAGAATCCAAGAGGTTTTTTTGTAATGAGAGCCTGCAAAAGAATAGGTTCTGGGTTCGTAAGGTATGGTAGCACTTATCTATCTATATATATATATATACAGATATGTACATTGGTAGTTCTCTAAAATAGGGTCACCTTTTTCAATGGCGTCATTATAGAACCCCGCAAAAAAGAACACTAATTTAGAGAACTGCCCTACTAGAATTCTTCCCCAAACCCTCAACCCTAAGCCCACTAGTTGCTTCATGGTACTTCTTGTTTGCGTGTTGGCCGTCTGGGGCTTCCTTGTCATGATCTTTTGGGTTTAGGGTTTAGGGTTTAGAGGGTTTCCCTTCGGCTTCTCTCAAGGCCGGTAGGTTCGCCATGGCAGCGGGGTTTAGGGTTTAGGATTTAGGGTTTACATAGGGTTTATGGTTTAGGGTTTATAGGGTTTAGGGTTTTGGGTTTAGGGTTTAAGGGTATATGCACCCGATGGGTCTGCCCCCAAGGTGATCAGGGAAGGCTCTCTGCTTGGGGGCGACCCCCGTGCGTTAAGAAAGGGTCTGGGGCAGCGCAGAACATCAACTCTTCCCATTCCAAGAGCCGCGGGCGATTCAGAAGACAAGCGTCATGAGAAACTAAGCATTCATGGCCTTGACATTCAATGACCCCTTCCTTGGATGGGCCCGAAGTTTGCATATCGTGGCTCCGGGTTGGGCCTCTTGTCAAAGGAGCCTGCTGCCTCGTTTCTTCTCCGATTTATTGTTTGTTATTGCAGGGGTGGGGGGGGGGGGGGGGGGGGGGGGGGGGTGGGGGGGGTGTAACTGGCAAGCCAACATGAACCTCTAAATGCTCTGAATAAAGCCTTAAACCCTAAACTTTCAGTAAAACCCTTAAACCCGAAAAGAAATCGAACCCTAAACCCTAAACCCGTCCTGCAGCAGAAGGCTTAAACCCTCAACCCCAAAACAACAAAAACCTAACTTCTAAACCCTAAAACCTAAACGCCCTAAACCCTAAACCCTGCTTTCGGAGCCCAGCCACAGGTCACCCTAAAGACGTTGCCAGGTCATTAGCTTCCTTCTGGAGTCCAAGGCAAACCCCAACTTCAAAGACAGGTGGGGCCGCTTTTTAATCCATAGTAAGCTCAATTATACATATATATATACACACATACACACGTGCATATGTCTGTGTATATATATATATGTTTATGTATGTATGTATGTATGAATGTATGTATGTATGTATGTATGTATCTATGTAATGAATGTATGTATGTATGTATGTATGTATGTATGTATGTATGTATGTATGTATGTATGTATGTATGTATGTATGTATGTATTTAATGTCGCAAATAATGTGGCTTGAGCTGCAAAGAACTTTCAGGATCCTCCTGATGACTGACTGACATGTATGAAGGGAAGTTGGGTTTAGGGCTTAGGGTTTAGGATTCAGGGTTTAGGGTTTAGGGTTTAGGGAAAAACGGAAGGCCACAGGCCCAACACCCTCTTCGGGTAACGGGCCAAACCAACGTTTATCCCCTTTGAACACCCCCATGGTAGCAAAGCAGAGCTACCATGGGTTTTGGGTTTAGGGTTTAGGGTTTAGGGCCCAGTCAGATTGAGGGTGAGTTCCGTTCAGGGTTTCGCGTCTGGAGTTTAGGCCTAAGGGTTGTACCCCGAAAGGTTTCCCCCGAATATACTGCTACTATGGCCCTTATACTACATCCTAAAAACGGGCCCCCGAAACCCAAGGGTACAACCTTAAGGGTCCAAGGTACAACGTCTAGAGACAGTGCCTGCGCCCTGACTCGGAACCCCTGAGCCCCTGAAAGGGGCGAAACCTCCCTCATGACCCTTAGCCGATGCTGGCACCCAGGTGCCTGGTTTAGGGTTTAGGAGGTGTCCCGACCTGCGAACAGAATCCCAGAACATCTGCTTCCAAAGCGTCGGGCTTGGGACCTTGGGGTTCTTGACCTTTTCTTTCCCTTTTAGGGCGTCTTGGCGGCACATTTTTGAGTCCATTGGCCTAAGCCCGAAAGCCTAGACCCTGGACCCTAAACCCTAACTCCCTTCTTTGAATGTTGGGCCTACGATGGACATTTTACATCCCTGCAGTGTGGTTGCGAGACTGCTAGGCAGGTGGCACAATCCTATGTCTAGCTTCGAGCTTGGATCCTGTGACAGGTGGGGGGGCACTGCCTTGGAGGATGCCATTCAGAGCCTTCGACTGCCTAGGACCCGGAGTAGGGCCTAAATGCCTTTAAATGCTGTTGAGGGCTTAGGGTTTAGGGTTTAGGGTCTAGGGTCTAGGGTCTAGGGTTTAGGGTTTAGGGTTTAGGGTTTAGGGTTTAGGGTTCCTTTTGTGAAGCCCCTTGAAAACCCAAAAGGGCACCCATTATTCCTAGTTTACCCTGGGGTCGACCTGCAGGGGAGGCAGGGCAGGGATGCCCCTAAAGCCCAGGAGAGGCGAGTTTGGCAAATCCCCTATGTAGTATGAAACAGCCCCCCCTCCCTAATAAGGAATTTTCCCGTTCCAGTAAATTGATGTTGTTGCCTTTTCTTTTGCCGTGGTTGTGGCTAGGCTCTTAAAACCTGCGTTTCTCATGCGGGGGGAGGGGGGTCCTTTTGACCAGGTTGCCTCCTGAACTGCTTCGTATGCCTGCAAGTAGTATAGATGTTTTGTGGCATTATTTGGGATGTTCCCCTTCTACGAACAGTCCTGAATATGGATTACAATAGGGGGTACTAGAATCACTATTCAGGACTGTTAGTATAAGGGGGACATCCCAGAATTATGCTTGAGGGATTCCGGATTTCACTGTAATGCTTCAAATCTGAACGTACAGCTTATGGCAGCACACCCAGTGCTTAAATTCACATGTCCGCGCAGCCAGCAGCCAAGGAACAACCACACGGTTGTAGCGCAGCTGATCTTCTCCAAGCGAGGGCAGCTTCGCCAGGACCGGAATGGTGGACCCAGTGCAGTGACAATGGTGCGGGCTCAGGGTTGTCGTTCATAGCCTAGCTTCGAACCCTAAACCCTAAATTGCTAAACACTGTTGCGGCTGTTGATGTGTCTATGATTTTCCGGGGTGCGCCTTCGCCCTCCCTTGTTATGCATATGGAGCTTTATAGTCAAGGGCGGAGCGCTATGTTGCCTTGAACCCCTACCCTAGACCAATAATCCGACTTTGCAAGTGCGGGCGGAAGAGTAACACACGAGCTGGGTTGTGTTCAGGAGCCTAAAACTCAGTTGCCAGTAGAATCGTTCGAGATCATTGGCCATATAACCCGTTTCTCGCAACTGAATTTGTAAATTCTTCCCAGGAACCCAGCAAACGCTACAGCCCCAAACCCCAGGAGCTAGCCGCCGGCTGGCTTTGCGATGCAGCCTCGGCGGGGAACATAGCACCTCGCAGGAAAGCACTTTTTCTATTGGGGTTCATGGGGTTTAAGTGTTTAGGGTTGAAGGGTTTAAGGGTTTCGGGTTTACGGTCTAAGGGTTTAGGGCTTAAGGGTGTTTTTATGCAACGCTATGAGCACACGAGGTTGGCAGCCGCGTGAAAGAAAGTAGGCCCGAACCCCCTTAGGACCGACCTCAAGATGAATTTCGCCGTATAACCCTCAAGCGTGGCTTATGGGGCGGTGCCTGGTACGACTATTGCCCTAAGTTCGGTTCTTCAACTATAGTTGGTATAGTATGTGACGGCCGCTCTTTGTAGCAACTTTCTCCACTAAAACTTGGCCCCCTCAAACCTTGAACAACGTGACTGTACCGGTGGTGTGGGCGCTGCGGTTCAACCTGCTCAGAAGCGTGACCGCCAGTTGTGCCGTTGTACCCGAGAACCTCTAATTGTAGTTACCATTGTAGTTCCTTTTGTTGGAACCTCTTTTCCATGTTTTAGGAACCATGAAGTAACGTAGGTGAGATAAGACGTTTCGGCTGTGAGTCCGGATTCAGGGCTCAGGGTTTCCTGTGAAGGTGGAAACCGTGCTGCCCACTACCACCCGCAAGCCCCTCCAGCCTCGAATCCTTACAGTAAGCCTTCGCCCCACCAAGGTCAAGCTGCAGCAGTTAGCGGAGAATTCAGTGGATGCCGCTAGGCCGAAAGTCAAGAAGTAGCCCCATAGCTATTACAAGCAGACTTGCAAAGGGCCCTAAATTGGAGTACACGTCAGGTGGTTTGGGCTATAAATCCCTTAGCTACAGTTGCCAGCCACCAGACACCAAAGTGTTTAGGGTTTGAGAGTGCCGACGTCCATGCTTCGAAAAAGGGTTTGAGAGTGTTGCGCCTGCATCCTTTTCTGCGAGGCTTACGCAAGAAGCTGGCATCCTTTTCTTGTTTGGGGAGCCCTACAAACCCTAAACCCTCAACCCTCAACCCCAAACCCTAAACCCCAAACCCTAAATCCTAAACCCTAAACCCTAAACCCTAGCCGAGTTCGGCTTCGAGGGGTTTAGGGATTTAAAGTTTAGGGGTTTCGGACAGAAAAGGCACAGTGTCCACCAAGGTCAACTTGGCTGACTACGATAGCCGGACCGCCCTGCACCTGGCGGCCACCGAAGGGCAGCTGCTGGCAGTGAGCTTCCTCCTGGGCACCCGGGCTGCTCTTGTAACGTAGTGGGCCAGAATCCAAAACCCAACTTTTTCAACTCTTGGCCTCTTATAAGGTAATATTCCGAACGCTTGGAGACGCCACTTCAGAATGTGATAGGGCTCTTGCTAAGCGTGCTCCCCTGCATTGAGCCTACTCTGCACACACACTTTTGTTTCGGCTGCCAGCATTTGTCCAGCTTGTGCTTAACTCACGACACCGGCTTTGCTCACGGTTTGCTACCGAGTACAGCAAAGGACCAATCTGCTGGGCGGGGACATCCCTAAGCCCTAAACTCTAAACCATACACCCTAAACCCCAAACCCTAAACCCTAAACCCTAAAGCTTGTCTGCACTCAGGAACTGCCAGAGCCAACAGCTCCCCTCAAGACCGGTGGCTCTCCACGCCGCTGCAGGACAGCAGCTTGGAGCTTTCAGGTTTTGTTTCAAATCTGTGCCACATCGTGTGGGTTTAGGTTTGGGGTTTGGGGTTTGGGGTTTAGGGTTTAGGGTTTAGGGTTTAGGGCTTTTCCATACTGCAGATCCAGAAGATGTGAAGCCGGGACTGCTTAGGGGTCAGGGCTCTGCCCCTGGAATTTGGGATCTTCCCCCTTTTGCCTCGCAGTCCTTAATAGGGCTTATCACGGGGAGTAGAATAATCCCTATTAAGGACTACCTAGCAGTCCTTACTAGGGCTTATCATAGGGGAGTGGAATATCCCTAATTAAGGACCTACGAGTAGGGTTAAGGGGGAGAGCAGCCCAACCTGTGCTGCTTAGGGTCAGGGTTCTGCCCCCTGGAATGGTTACTTCCGGGGGCTCCAAGCTTAGGGTTTATGGTTTAGGGTTTAGGGTTTAGGGTTTGACGCCTTAAGCTGGGCTGCTTCGGGCCAAAGCCTTCGAAGGCTTTCGGAGGCTTCTGCTCCAATCCCTTTGAAAGAAACATCATGTCCTTAGCACGATGCCCAAGCAACTACATCGATCTGATCCTGCCGATATACTTTCCGAACAGGTTCTTTGTGTCTGGTCTTGCTGGATCTCCATGAGGGCTTGAGATCGTGCATCTTAAAAACATCGTCTGAGCCAAGCTCAGATTGTGCTGCGGATCAGTTTTTCTTTCTGAACTGCTGTTTCCTCATGTTCAATTCGGCTGTGCCTGTGCTGGTGCATGCCGCTGATACCGCTGTGGACAGGTCAGGCATCTAGCCCAAGCTCAAGTTGTCGCCTTTTCTTAGCAGCTGAGTGAGCACACTTTACACTTTTTGGGATACTAGAATCCCCTATGGAACTGAAAGCGTACACTTTTTGGGGCTTATGAACTCAGCAACTAAGCTTTTGACTGCAGCAATAGCATTCGCCTAGGAAGCAAACTTCACAGCATTTCAATGCTCCAGACTATGGGTGGGTCGCAGTACTACGTATCAGTCTCGTTTCTTTGGGATGTCCCCCCTATACTAACAGGCCTTTATAGGGATAAACATCGGGAGTACTATAATCCCTATTAAGGACTGTTTAGTAGAAGGGGGAACATCCCAATCGGCTCTGCTTAAAGTCTGCGTCGCAGGATGCAATTCGTGCTGGCCACGTCCACTGTGCACGGCTGTTAGCCTTCGCGGGCGCCGCGCTCGGCGACAGCGCGACGGACGACGACCGCGACGAGCTACGCAGCGCGGCATGAGATCTTGTGTCACTTCTTGGACACGGCTGCCTTACTTATTGCAAGTAGTAGGGCACCTTGCGATAGCAACTTTGGCTGAGGGTTTCAAAACCGAAGTGAATTATCAACCGATTTGGATACATTTGCTTGTAACCAGGCGGTCTCCCTTGCTTCACCTGTACATTAAGTGCATTCTTACCCCCTGATGTCTAGAGTCTTTAAGTGTCCTAGGAAAGAGGGGACGGGTTGCTGTTTAGGGGCGTTGCCCACACCGCATCCCGAGAGAGATTTTTCGGCTATGAACCAGCGCCTGGTAGGCATTTCGCGGCTTAGGGTTCAGTATTTATATGGTTGAGGGTTGAAGGTTTAGGGAGGATGCTCATTAAGCCCCCACCAGCCCGCGGACTATTTAAAGCAGGGAGACAGGCTTCTGAAAATCTGCAAACCTGCACTCAAAATCCCTTGCTCTTGAGCTTTTAACACTTGCATAGCCCTAGATATCCACCACCCTAAGAGCGAAGAGCAGAGGTGTAAGCCTGGAGCAGGGTTGAGGGAATTCCCGCACTTGCTCTGCGAGAGTCGAAACCTTACCCCCCTCCACATGAGGCTGTGAGGCTAGGTGGCAGAAAAAACTGGAACTTTGTTTGGGTTCTTAAGGCTTACTACTAGCTAGCAAACCCTCATGAGGGTAACCCCTAAACCCTTAACCCTTTCCCCTAAACCCTAAACCCTAAACCCTAAACCCTAAACCCTAAACCCTAAACCCTAAACCCTAAACCCTAAACCCTAAACCCTAAACCCTAAACCCCAAATCTAACTAGAGCCTCAAGGCGAGCTTTACGCCGAAGACATGGAGTCCAGTTCCGACTGGGGCCACATCCAGGCTCTTCAGCTAGGGTTTAGGGTTTAGGGTTTTAGGGTTTAGGGTTTAGGGTTTGGGGTTTGGGGTTTCGGGTTTCGGGTTTCGGGTTTCGGGTTTAGGGCGCTTGGCTTACGGCCTGGGGTCTTGAGCGTGGGGACTTCCAAGAGGGTCGCCGATTGCCTTGGCCATCCTGCTCCGTTGAGGAAACGTGTGCACAAACCCTAAAAAAAACCAAACCCGGAACCAGAAACCCTGAACCCTAAACCCTGAGCCAGAAACCCCAGCTAGCCGGGTTCTGTCGAGGTTTACGGGCACAAACGCCCATCTGGGCTGCCAGCTTTCACCACTTTCACCATGGACTCCACCCCACGTCGAGTAATCGCCAAGTTTAGAAGTCTAAACCCTAAACCCCAAACCCCAAACCCCAAACCCCAAACCCCAAACCCCAAACCCCAAACCCCAAACCCTAAACCCCAAACCCTAAACCCTAAACCCTAAACCCTAAACCCCAAACCCTAAACCCTAAACCCTAAACCCTAAACCCTAAACCCTGCCCGAAGTTGCAAGCTTCAAGCTTCCTCGACACAGGTCTTTCAAAGACGGATGACGGAGTTACAGCAGCGCGTGGCGCGCCTGCTCATGGCAGCCGCCGGGCTGCAAATTAAGGTGTTTAGGGTTTTTTAGGGTAGGGTTTAGGGTTTAGGGTTTAGGGTTTAGGGTTTAGGGTTTAGGGTTTAGGGTTTAGGGTTTAGGGTTTAGGGTTTAGGGTTTAGGGTTTAGGGTTTAGGGTGTAGACCACGAGAACCAAAACAACTCTTACGGTCATGCACCCTGTACTGCCATTATTTCCTATGAAGGTCTATAAGCCATAAACCCTATACCACCGTAACTCCTATTAAGGCAATAGCCCTAAACCCTAAACCCTAAACCCTAAACCCTAAACCCTAAACCCTAAACCCTAAACCCTAAACCCTAAACCCTAAACCCTAAACCCTAAACCCTAAACCCTAAACCCTAAACCCTAACCCTAAACCCTAAACCCTGGCGGATTGTCATAGTGAGAACCTTCCGAGCGAGTCCTTGCCTGCCTTGTCCGAGTGCGAGAGCCGAAACCCTAAACCCTAAACCCTTTTAGGGTTCATGTGGGAACCTAGTAGCAGCTGTCTACTCGGGGACCTGGAGGTGATTAGGGTTTAGGGTTTAGGGTTTAGGGCTAGGGTTTAGGGCTAGGGTTTAGGGTTTAGGGCTAGGGTTTAGGGTTTAGGGTTTAGGTTTTTGGGGGCAGGGAGGCAGGCGGAGCGCGAGCGCAACAAAAGTTGTGCAGCTCAAGGTTGAGCAGGTGCTCGCATTGCTTGTTACTGAGCTACGAATTGCTTAAGAACCCCCCCCCAAAAAAAAAAATAAAACTTCCTTATTAAGGGTAATGTAGGGATTATTCTGTTTCATTCTTAAAAAACTTCCTTATTAAGGGTAATATGGGTATAACTATTTGTGTTTATTCTTCTCGGGGTTCTTAAGCAAGTAGTAGTGAGAGTGTTAATGTATGTGTGTCTGCATGCTTCACAATTTCACACACATATCAGATGCTCATGCCAGATGTGTTGTAGATTTCGGGATCTCCAGGTTCGCGCGCGGATTCGCGTCCTTTTGGAACACGCAGGGATATGTCATCTTAGAGCACGACCTCCGCGATGCATGCATTGCGTTTCCCCTAAACCCTAAACCCGAAACCCTAAACCCTAAATCCTAAATGCTCTACTTCTTCTTCTTCTTCTTCTTCTTCTTCTTCTTCGGGGGCCGTACTTCTAGGGTCGTGGTGAAGGGCATCTTTGCCACATCGCAACAGGGCTCCCCTCGATGACTCAACCTAAACCCTAAACCCTATAAACCCTATAAACCCTATAAACCCTAAACCCTAAACCCAAAGCCGAGGTGTTAAAGGGTCGGGCGAGGCCCGAGGTCTTCGATGCGGAGGCATCTGCCAGGTTCAATCGGCAACTTATTGGCGCGGCCGCTTGGATTCTCATGAACCCAGAGGGTTTAGGGTTTAGGGTTTAGGGTTTAGGGTTTAGGGTTCAGGGTTCAGGGTTTAGGGTTTAGGGTTTAGGGTTTAGAGACCCCAGCTACCCCTTCGTTTGTTGAGGAATACACCTTATAGTAGGATCCCATCGTACCTTATAACGTAAGAGTTCTAAATTCCTTCCTTAAGCAGGTATTCGACTCTTTGGGGGAGACTCTGCGTTTCATGTTTCGGGGCTCCCGTGGGTGTCTTGAGAGAGAGAGAGAGAGAGAGCGTAAAAAAGCCTTCCGCTTGTTTTAACTTTCTCGGGGGCTCCTCATTTGGAGCATTGTTTGAGATACTTCGTGGGGACCTGCATTTAGTGAAGCCCACCCTAAACCCTAAACCCTTACCCCCCCCCCCCCACCCCCTCGCCCTCCCTGCAGGTTTTGCGCCAGTGCCCCCAGATTGCTGAGCAGATGGCCCCTTACCTGAAATGGTCCGGGCTTCGGTGTTAGGGCTTCGGTTTTAGGGTTTAGGTTTAGGGTTTCTTCAGCTGCACCCCCTTATACTAACAGTCCTTAATAGGGATTGCAATCGGGGCTACTATCATCCTTATTAAGGGCTGTGAGTATAGGGGGGACTTCCCAAATGGGGGGGGGGGGAAAGTGAGCGGTGCCCTTTGCGGAGGTTCCAACATCAAGCATTAGGAGGGCGGACCTGCGTTGGGAAATGCCCACAACATCGGCTCTGCAGATTTCAAAGGGAGGGTAGGGGATGCTTTCAGGATGATGCAGTTAGCACACCTCGGCGCTCGAATGATGCGTGGTTCCCCCCAGGCCTAGACAGAGGCCGCATACGTTCACGTGCTGGTATATGCTTAGAACGCCGACATAGCTCGGCAACCTGCAATTTGCTGCCGAAGATATGTAGTATTGTGAGCGGCACGGGGCATGCTCACAGTCGACCCCAGAAGCCGCGCTGAATTGACGGAATCCCTGACGATGCTTTCCAGCACGCCAGATAGTGGAATCGGTAATGCGGGAGGGAACGCCTGCTAGTTTCAGAGACCTCTTCAGAAATCCTAACCCAAAACCGCGCACAGACCATGCAGCACAAACGCTAGACACTCACTATCCTTTCCCATCCTCTCCCATAGAAAAAGCATGGGACTCTACCTTTGACCCCTAAGGTTGTACCCCTTGGGTTTGGGGACTCTTTCTAAAGATCCTCTAAGGGAATATAAGGGCCCGATTAGCAGCAAATGACCTTAGCCCCTGAACCCTAAACCCTAAGCCCTAAGCCCTACGCCCTACGCCCCACGCCCTAAGCCCTAAGCCCTAAGCCCCAAGCCCCAAGCCCCAAGCCCCAAGCCCCAAGCCCCAAGCCCCAAGCCCTAAGCCCTACCCTAGAAACCCTAAACCCTACACTCCAGGAAGGGAACAAAACGGCCCTATGAGGGAAACCCGAAACCTTGGCAAAAGACACTAAACCCTGAACCCTAAACCCGAAAACCTAAACCCTAAACCCTAAACCCTAAACCCTAAACCCTAAACCCTAAACCCTAAACCCTAAACCCTAAACCCTAAACCCTAAACCCTAAACCAAGCCGAGGTTGGCATGTCCAGCCTTCTTCGCAAGCTCAACGCGACGGCCCTTGCGCCGATGTCGTCGTTCCTGGCGCTGCTTCAGGAGGGTTTGGGGTTTAGGGTTTAGGGTTTAGGGTTTAGGGTTTAGGGTTTAGGGTTTAGGTTCAAAATGGCTTGGGGCATAATTTGTTCACGGTACCTACACTCAATAAGGAATAGAAACTTCAGTTTTTAAGTATCGTCCCAACCATGAACTAGAAACCCTAAGCCCTAAACCCCTGAACCCCCTAAGTCTTTAAACTAAAGACCCCCCCAAAAAAAGATACCCTGGTGAACGGAAAATTAAGTTTTTGAATATGATCCCAACCATGGTCTCTAAGTCTTTAAACTAAAGACCCCCCCTAATCCCTAAACCCTTAACCCCTTAACCCTTAAACCCTAAACCCTAAACCCCCCGGTGGGAGCCTCTGAGTCGGCTCTTTGGGTCTTTGGGAGTTTCTCCTAGTTGTAGAAAGCACCCTATGCTAGGGTTTAGGGTTTAGGGTTTAGGGTTTAGGGTTTAGGGTTTAGGGTTCACGGGTGCAATGCAGTCCGAGCGCTTCATTTGGACTCCTTATTCTCGGTCGTGCTTGTACTCGCGACATGAACAGGACTGCATCGATTGCACGCAGCACAGCAAGTGGCTTGGCTTAAGACCTATTATGCCGCAAGGACCCATGTCCACCTATATAGCATGTAAGGAGCCCAAGTATATAGGTACTAAACCCTAAACCCTAAACCCCAAACCCTAAACCCTAAACCCTAAACCCGTTTTCTTCGGAGAACTTCGACCCGCCACCGCCGACACTTTCCAAAAGATCCCGGTAATTCTCGTATATCGCCCCATTTTGCGTCCGAGTCGCTCGATGAGAAGTTGTCTTATCCTGTTTTACGGAGCCTTGTAAGGGTTTATGGTTAACCCTAAACCCTCAACCCTCAACCCTCAACCCTCAACCCTCAACCCTAAACCCTAAACCCAAACCTTAAACCCTAACCCTCCCCGCCAAAAAAAATGGGTACATCAAGCCGCCGGGCAGGAATGGCATCCCTAGAACGCCCGAGTGAAGGTAGTGTAGGGTTTAGGGTTTAGGGTTTGGGGTTTTTTTAGGGTTTAGGGTTTCGGGTTCAGGGTTTAGGGTTTGGGGTTTAGAACCCGTGCCCTTTTTGTAACCCCTGCGCATGGAGTGAGGCTTTAGGGTTTAGGGCTGAGGGCTGAGCATCCGCGCATTTTGAAGGCTGGGTTTAGGGTGCACTGCAGAGCGGGAACGGGCTGGGCAGAAAGGGCAGCAGCCGAGTCCCTTGTGAAAAAGGGTTTAGGGTGCTTTAAAAAGGGCTTAAGGCAAGGATTTGGGCATTTCGGACCGAACGAGTTGTTGTGATGGCACTTTGCTACCCATCCTTTGGCCATGGACAAGTTTTCTGTAGCCACGGACAGACGACCATGGAATGGGAGTCGCCAGTCGTTCACACGATGTCGTTTGGTTCTTTTGAAGCTTGAGATGGAAGGTTTACGAAATTTGGGGTACCTTACCGGGGAGGGAATCCTCCTATTTGGGGGTCTATTTTAGGGGTCCCCTATGTTCGTAAACCTCCAGATTGTCTACTGCCTTCCAACGTAGGCAAAGGTACAGAGGACAAGATTGCATCCTTTGCAGATGAAGTGCTCTCGGGGACGGGTGGGGCGGGGGAACCCTAATCCCTAAACCCTAAACCCTAAACCCTAAACCCTAAACCCTAAACCCTAAACCCTAAACCCTAAACCCTAAACCCTGAACCAAACATGGGACTCTGCCTTGGAGTTCGGAAAGGTTGTATCCTTGGGTTTGGGGACCCTTTTTCTCTTAGTGGCTGAGTGAGCACGCTTTACACTTAGATACTAGAATCCCCTATGGAACTGAAAGTGTACACTGTTTGGGGGGCTTATGAGCCCAGCAACTAAGTAAGATCCCTAAGGGAATACAAGGGCCATATTGGGAGTATAGTATTGGGGGAAACCTTCAGGGGAACCATCTTAGGGGTTCGAGTCTTCATCCCTTGGACACTAAACCCTAGTTCCTAAACCCTAAGCCCTGAGCCCTAAGCCCTAAACCCTAAGCCCTAAACCCCATCCCTTGAGGTGGTGGGCCTGGCATGACAAACAGGGGCAGGCGAGTCAGCGAGCCAGCAAGAGGCAAGACAAAGGCCACCTCGGGGTTCAGGGTTTTGGGTGCAGGGTTTAGGGTTCAGGATTTTGGGGTTTAGGGTTCAGGTTTTAGGGTATTGGGTTTAGGGTTTTGGGGTTTTGGGTTTTGGGTTCAGGGTTGTTTGTTTGAGAGCACGTGGCATGATGCTCTCAAGCTGGATTTGTCTCAAACACGGGAGTTCGAGGTAGTTCGAGGGTGTGGGCCCCTTGTGTTGTGGATGCTTGAGTTGGGGGATGGAACTGCTGGGGCTACAGAGACAGGGCCAGGGCGTGAGACGTGCCCTAACTCTCTTAAACGCTTAAGCACCTTAGCCCACTGGACTTGGAGCCCTTTCAAAGGGTTTAGGGTTTGGGGCTTCGGTTTCTAAATCCCTAAACCCCTGCATTTTGCCAAGTGTCACTTCATGCGACGGTACACTTGTGCCAGCGGTGTGTGAGATCTGCAGTGGTGGGTCAGCTAGGCCCGGGTGTCCAGAAACATGGCTTAGAAGAGACGGACCATGAAGGTTCTGAAACTCTAGCCTCAGTACTACCCAAAGAAGCCCCCCCAAGTAGCACTAATGTCTGTAAGGTTCCCTGTGCGGGTGGGGTGTTGGATCTTGGGAAGTTTGGGGTTCAGCACCCAGGCGATGGCATCCGAGAAAACGACAGCCACAAAGACATTGAGCAAGGGCTCGTTTGAAGATGCTCGCGGGGCTTTCCTGGGCTAGTGCCAACTTCTTCAATCGTCACATACATCGTCACCTAGCACACCCTTAGGCCCTGCGCAACAAGAAACTTTAGCAACTAGGACCCAGTAAAGGCCCTGATTCCTTTTCTGGGGTTCCCTTACCAGTGCTAGCTTACTTGTGGGTCTGCATTTTATTTAAAGCCTTAAACCCTAAACACCCGGGCCCTACTCTCCCCCGCAGGTAGCAAGGAGGCAAAGTTGGACAAGTCCACGGGAATGGTTACTAAGCCTCCCAGCCTGCACAAGGTTTCAGAGGCTTGCAACACCACGCAACCTTAGCTGCCTATAGAAGTAAATAGTACCCCTGTAGGTGTATCTATATATATATATATATATAATATGTGTGTGTATGTGTACATATACATCTATATATATATATATTGGATGGATACGTACACACATGTACGTACTAAATGTAGGTAGACGTGCCTCTTTTGTTTTCATTGTTTCCCTCTCTGTATATATCGTTTGGGGAAGATGGTTTTGTTTAGGGATGTTTAGGGCACAGTTGTGTGGAGCTCAGCTGCGAGAGTGCGAGAGTTTGGGCACAGGCTGCAACAATGGCTCGTAAGGTTCTTAGAGGATCTACGTTGGGATGTTCCAGTCCTTAATAGGGATTTTGGTACCCCTTATTGTAGTCCATCCCATTTGGAAAGCATGTTTTCGAACCTGTCGAGGTTGATGGTTTCGACCATGGGCATTTGCTCGATCTTGGCCCGGCGCTCGGCCCACGCTGTCCATTAAGCGAGGAGCCAATTTTCCTCCTAAATTGCCTTAAACCAGCTAGGGATCCTTAATGGTTTACCGTATAGATTCCTTAACTAAGGGGTTTTGGGCTTTTTTGGCAGTCCCAACCTGTAGACACTTGTGGAGATTCGATGGCATCACCTTGGCCCGCCTTACCAGTTCTGTGGCCCGGCTGCCTCGTGCTGGACTCTTACCGTCAGGCACAGAGTAGCCCCAAAACCTTCCTGAGAACGCCCTTTGGGCAAAAAAACCCTTAAAATTAAGAGTCCTTCGAGCCTTAGGGTTAGGTCCTCGGCCGCATGTCCTTATCAACCGTGTGCTGCCCAAGGCGACCGCCTTGAGCAAAGCTTCGGCCTTGATCCAAGAACGGATCAACAAGCTCGTCGACGATCGACACCTAAAAACAAAGGCAGGATGGGACAGGGCGAAAACCTCAATCGCAACGAAAGCCTTGGTGATGATGACCTCCGCCGGAGAGAGAGAGAGAGAGAGAGAGAGAGAGAGAAAGAATGAATGCCTGGGTGTGTAGATATGATACGTACTGCTCATGGTCATAGGCACATGTCTGTGAGTTTACTCAGCCTTCACGTCTGGTGCCCTACTGCTGTTGCTACGACTGCTGCGCTCGTTGCCTTCGTCCTACCGTATGCACAGTAAGTGCAGGTGTGTGCAGGCATTGGAAGGAGATGTTGTGGTTCTCAGTCAACTCAGAGCTGAATCTTGTTTATCCGTAAGCCTGGATCCCGGATGTTGGAACAAGCAGCCTGCAACGTGAGAAATCTAGACGTCACGTTCCTTGACCAGGTCTACATCATCGACGATGACTACTTGTGCCTTGTTCTTGCTGTAGTGGGGCTTATTGTACAACAGTATGTATCTTGATGGAAGTAAGCAGCAAGTTTCATTCGCCGGCAGGTCCTGTTGTAAACATGTGGGAGGGAACGTTTCAGCAACCTTCGTGTTCGTGCCCTGATCGGCCTGTGAAAGGCCGGGGACCTACCATTGCCGTAAGGTTCCAAGGGCCCCTACTACAGAGAGACTGGTACCTCAGGGTCTTCAAATCCTGTGTCGAGGTTTTAAGGGCCTTGGGGTGTAAACCCCTTCAGCCCACATCTGCTGTAGCCCTTCTGCAAGTTTCAACCCCGAGGAACGCCTATTCGATAAACAGCTCACCGGCTCAATCGACATCCTCCACGTTGAATGCCCGGAGGCCAGCTCTGGGCTTCGGACTTCTAGTTTATCTAGGCCGTGCTTCGGGACATTTTTAATTCATGCCCAAAATCCCTATTATAAATACACTTACAATTGCCAGCCTTGATTTTTCGGAACTGAAAATTATGGTATATAGGGTTTAGGGTAGTTGGGGGTTTGGGGATTCGGCCTGGTTTGCAAAGGATTTAGGGATTCGATGTTCTGCGTTTTTTTCGGAATTTTGTTTGCTCAACCGCCTCACCACTGCACCTACTATAGCTAATAGGGGTCAGAAAAACTAGTAGCAGTATTCCCTTAGTTATCGTCCCTAATTATCATTATTATACTATAAGAACCCCCCCCCAAAAAAAAAAAAAAATCTCATTCTTAAAGCCCCTATATTGCACACTTGCACACTTCAACATAGAGGCTATTCTGTCCTGGCACCGTCAAGGCCTGCAAAACTTTCATGCGTGATATGGGGCTACAAGCACTGGCCTTGGCTCGCAGGAGCTAAGAGGCGTAGATTCTGACCCTCATCTCTTAAAATGACCTCTCAGTACGACAACGGAAACCCACCAACTCGCCACTGACCGTGACAACCGTTGCGTCCCAGGAATCGCAAGAAGGGTGGCGCCCGAAGCGTGGCGGGGTCTGTGAGTGCCATGCCTTATCAGTGAGTGGTGTAGAAGAGGTGGATGAAAGCCTGCAGAAGCCTCAAGCATGAGAACCGAGAGACAGTACGCGTGTTCTTGCACTAGGTTTCAAGGGTTTAGGGTTTAGGATTTGGGGTCAAAGCGTGCCCGTGTGGGCCTAACTTGGTTGAGAGCCCGGTCGGGCTAGCAGCACATGACTTACGTTCACGAAGTTGGCCCCCCCAATGTTATTTGAAGCAAATTCAGACTTAAGGGGTCCACATAGAGCCCGTCAAGTTGCGAAGGGTCTGATAAGCAGCAATTGAAGTGCTGCCCAAACCCTAAACCCTAAACCCTAAACCCTGCATTGGCTGGAGTAGGTTCGGGAGCTGGGGTGGCTCATAAGGTAGCTGGGAGCACTGCCGTTTTGGGTATATGGCAAGACCCCCCCCCCCCCCCAACGGCACCTAGGCAGGGTGTGGGTATACTGGGAATAAGACAATTCTCCTAAGATTGTCTTGTATCTTTTTGGGAGGGTGGGTGGTGCCATATACCCAAAAATCTGGAATGGACTCAGCTAACTTCATATCCCTTTTGTCGTGTTTTGGATGCTTCGGACTGACAATAGAGTTGGAAGCTGTGGTGATGAAACCCTAAACCCTAAAGCCTAAACCCTACTTGTAGGGTAAGGATTTCTCTGAGCGGTTCCGGGATGATGCGAGATAGGGGTCGTCAAGCCTGGCGTCATCCCACCCCTAAACCCTCTAAACCCGAATCCCTAAACCTTATACCCTAAACCCATCCGACCACAATGAGGAGCACCCTCTCAACGGAGCGCGCGAAGCCAAAGAACCCAGCTTGAGGCTGCGGCAACTTGTTCGGCTTAGGGTTTCGGACTGGGAGTTGGGGAGGGCGTCGAACCAAAGGGCCGCAGGGCTTATAGGCTTGGTAGCCCAGTGGTACCCTTTTCCCTTTGTTTGCTTCAAGGTTCCCTTTTTCAAGTAGCCAACCCCAAAAAGGGTGCCCTTATTGTAATATGATTACTGGGCTAAAAAGTAGGTTTAGAGTCTAGGCGCCAGAGGCATCACTTTGTCAGCCTCCGGGGTCTTCTGGGAGATCTCATCGTCAGGGAGCTCTTGGGCAAACCTAAGGTTTAGGGTTTAGGGTTTAGGGTTTAGGGTTTAAGGTTTAGGGTTTAGGGTTTAGGGTTTAGGGTTTAGGGTTTAGGGCCTAAACCCTTAATCCCTCAACCCTTGACCCCTGCATGTCAGATGTCGAGCTGCTACTCAGGCCCAGGATGCACGAACACAGGGTTAAGGGTTTGGGGTTTAGGGTTCGGGGTTTAGGGTTTCGGGTTTAGGGTAGAATGGTGAAAGAGGCTTTCGCTGTTGGAGAGCTTCTGTCGCAATGGGCTCTCGAACTTTCCATCCTATACCTGAAGCCCCAATGCTCTGAAACAAGCCTATGCTGAAGCCCAGGATCCTGAAGCCTTGAGCCCTAATCCCTAGTCCCTACAACCCTTGCCTGGGCGTGCGATAGCCGTGAGAGTCGAAAATCGAAACCCTAAACCCTAAGCCCTAAACCCTAAGCCCCAAGCCCTAAGCCCTAAGACCTAACCCTAAACCCTAAACCCTATAACTCTTTGGTGCCAGGACATAACCGAAGACCCGCGGGAGTCCGGGAGTCAGCTCAGCATCATTTGCACGGAGGCCGTGTTTGAGGCCTGGACCCGGTTTAGGGTTTAGGGTTTAGGGTTTAGGGATTTAGGGTTTAGGGTTTTTCTTCCAAGAGCTGCAATAGATTCCAGTTGCAAGCTTCCCCCAACCCCAACTTCCCCGACCCGCGCGGTTGTTGACAACATCGCGGTCCCTGTCTTTTTGTTTGTTCCTCTTTTTTTTTTTTTTTTTTTTTGGGGGGGGGGGGGGGGCTCAGGGTTTAGGGTTTAGGGGGTCTTTCGTAGATCTGAAATTGTAGCTCCTCTTCTTGGGTTACTTGGATTCTTTTCAGGCATCAAGTTATTCCAGGGTTCTTAAGGGAGGGGGATTCAAAGGGGTATGCAACCCAACGTTCCCTAACACTCCCCACTACTCCCTAAGGCTCCCGAAAGCTTCCCTGCGGTTCCCTAGGTACCTACCCCCTAAACCCTAAACCCTGAAGCCTAAAACCTAAACCCTAAACCCTAACCAGCGTGTGCGCCAGTGTGAGAGTCGAAACCCTAAACCCTAAACCCTACACTCTAAACCCCCTCCCTGAAGAGCCCTTTAAGATAGCCATCAAGTCCACTTCCCCGCAGGCGCTGGAATGGGAAATCGACTGGACCGCCCCAACCTCTGCGAACTATGGGCGGCTTGGGCTTGCCAGCTTATGGGGTTGAGGGTTTAGGGTTTAGGGTTTAGGGTTTTGGTTTAGCCTAATTCGAAACCCTTTGACCTCTTGATTGAGCTGCGGAACCGAAGCCTCGGGCCTCTTTCCCAGCGTCGGGTGTGGGGGGGCTAATGGCTCACGGAGTGCTCCGTGCTTGGTGTTTGTTTGGTCTAAGGCTAGTTGCATGGGCTCTGGATATGGTCCCTCATCTCCTTGACAGGGTTCTGAAGTATGGGCCCTTGAGTTTGATGTGGTATATGAGGGGTATATAACAAGGGGGTTGCCTTTTAGATTTTGGACCAGACGGGTGTGTCATTTTCGTGTGAGCAAGGGCGTGTTGGTTCAGAGTGCAGGGTTAACTTTGCTGTCGCCTCGGATGTTAACAAATACAGTAGAACACCTCAAAAAAAACAATATAGCAACATAACAGCATTGTGGCAATAACATAGTAGGATAATGGGTTGGTATAATGATATTATAACGAATATAACGATGTGGCATATTCAGGCAATAATCTGCCAATTTTAGGGTTTAGGGTGTAGGGTTTAGGGTTTAGGGTTTAGGGGTAGGAGTATGAATTTTCACTGATGCCTTCGACGGTCCATGCTTGGGAGGTTCCCTCCACTGCTTTCAACCGTGAACTAGTTTAGGGTTTAGGGTTTAGGGTTTCGGGTTTAGGGAATAACTCAACATACCCCAAACCCATACCACTCAACCTATAGCAGGAGAATATATAGAAGGATTTCGCCATACCCCTTCACCTCTTGGTATGCCCAAGGGGTATGTTGAACATTTCCTGGATTTAGGGTTTTGGGCTTAGGGGTCTCAACTCGAGTTGCTTAAAGATTCTTATTTGGAGAACTGCGCCTACTTTACCTGTAAAGTCTTCGTTGACCCTAAGCCCGAAACCCTAAACCCTAAAACCCGAAACCCTAAAACCCTGTGGTTCCCCAACTCTATGGAGAGCCGCGCCAAGGATAAACGCCGGTCCGCTGAAGGCGAAGTTGGAAGAATTGGCGGGCTCCATGGTGAATGCGTCGCTTGGCAGACGTCATGCGGGGTTATGGTCCCCACTGCTACATGCCATGCCTGAAGGTCTTGTCTCAAGGTAAGAGTTTCGGGTCTCAGGGGCGATCGGGGAAGCTCAGAATACAGCGTTTTCCAGGCAGTCTGGGGCCATCATGGACGTCTTGGACTGCCTGACGCAGACGACAACGCAGGTGCACGGGGGTTTAGGGTTTACGGTTTAGGGTTTCAGGGCTTCAGGGGCTCTCACACAACTCACCTGGGCCTTGTCGTCTTGCCCTGTTCTCGTCTCACGATTTTGCAGATGTGCTTCCTGCCTCTTCCTCGCGGCGCGTGCGTCCCATGCGTCCATGAGATGGCAGCTTACATACCCAGATCTTCCAAACCCCCTAAATTTAGTTTTTATACCCTAAGATCTTCCAAACCCCCTAAATTAAGGTTCATACCCTAAGTCATTGTAAGGATCCTTATTATGAATTAGGAGGGTAAATACCCCAATTAAGACTCGAAGTCCTTGGTTCGTCTTCTCTGCGCCATGACCGGGCAAAGCCATCATACCAACAGATCCGCTTCTGGTGCTTCTGGAGTTCAGGCATAAAGACCCTGCTGTAGCCATAAGCCCATAGCGTTCCAATCTGCACATATCCACGCCTTCCCAACGCCTCGGGTTTCCTGAAAAGGCAGAAACCTATAGACATCCGAATTCCATGCTCATTGTAGGCAACACAGCTGTGTTGACGTATTATGAGGATGCTTTTGGGTGGTGCAACTTCTGCAGTTCCTTGGAAAGTAGGCCTTGGAATTATTTTGCATGTGTGTTGTCTGGCTTTGTAGTGCGATCGGAACATAACTAGTTGGTGTGTGCATTCATATGTTAGTGTACTGTTGTTTTTGGTTTTGCAATGCAACCGTAACGGGACTCTGCCCTAAACCCCAGCTCACTTGAGCGCAACCTGACGATATGGCGTGGTGGGGGCAAGTGGGGCAGTACAATCTGAATACAGCACCCCGAGGTTCTCCTTTTATTTGCCTTGGAAAGGCGGACACACGAGGGTGTGTGTGTGTGTGTGTGTGTGCTGAACACGCAGCGCATGCTTCCGTGCTGGTTTCGTGATTCGGGTTTACGGACACACCCCAAGCCCCTGCAACAGTTGCCTGGGAACACGGCGGGATGAGACCAAACCTACAGCCCTAAATTCATTCAGGCTCGCTTTTCTAGGCGGCTTTGCGCTTTCGTGACTTGCAAGTACAGTATAGGTTTACAGGCGAGGGGTCTTACCAGAACCCAAATGTAAAAAACCGGGCTCCCCCCTGTGTGTCTAAACTCCAAGCCATATGCCCTATACCCGGATTCCTATTCCCAAAAGCAACGTAAGTGGAGGTCTGGCCACTGCCGAAGGCAGCCTGCGTGAACACTGCGTCAGAGGCGGTGCAGAAAGCACGGCGTGGTCTGAATCTTTGCCGCTGGTAATTTGGGGGCAGGAGGGAGAGAATGAGGGCTCCCTTGTAAGACCCTAAACCCTAAACCCTAAACCCTAAACCGGGGGGACTCACGGCCCTCCGAAGCTGTGGCGCACACCAGAAGTCCCTGAAGAGTCTGCGCCACCAAGGATACCGCGCATCAACGCACCCCTGGCGAACGAGCTTGCGCTGCTTTCCATTCTGGATACTCGCCCTGATGAGCTGGGAGTTGGGACATGTTGGGACTGAGGGCTGCAGAGGTGACACTCTGTAGAAGGGTTTAGGGTTTAGGGTTTAGGGTTTAGGGTTTAGGGTTTATTTTGTGTTCAGGGCGTACAATGACCCAAGCTTTTTTTTTAGCATGTGATGGGATTGCGCCCGGAACGTGAGCAGTGAACTCCCCCCCAAAACATGTTCTGGTAGTTCCTCGGGCCCTGTTTTTTCCACACGCTCAAACACGCAACCTCGAGTCTTAGAAAAATTGGCACCGAGCTGGTTTGAGTGAAACTCGGCCTCAGGCCATGCAGTAACCTGCTTAGGATATTTTCCATGTTCCCCTTAATTGCTGGGCTTTCAGAATCTTGTTTAAGAGTTGGCTTCACAGATTTTCAGGGGCCAACCTGCTTTTCAGGGGCCAAGAGGGTTTAGGGTTCAGGGTGTCGTGGATTTTTGCGGAACCCTAAAAAAAACTAAGAAAACCCGAAGCCCTAAACCTTTTTTGCATCCCCACAATCTCACGCCGGCAGTGCGGGTGGGGGAAACAGACCCTAACCCCTAAAAAGGGTTAAGTGGGATGGTTTTTGGGGTTGATGCTTCATGGCCACCGGACCCGGATAAGGAATCTCAAATGAAGCTAATCAAACCCCATATGCCTTGGAAAGGCTCTCAGCTCTCAAAGCACAACTCACTACCTTTCTCCAGCTTTGATGCGTTTGCCTTGACCACGCGAACACCTGCAGGCATTACTGCAGACTGCCCCCATGAACATCGACGGTCACCCCAGCAACGAGAAGGCAGGTTCTTTGTTATCTGGAGGGTTTAGCAAAACAGGCTTAGATTGGGGTATATCCGTGACAAGACAATCAGTGAAGGACGTAGCGTCTTTGATGCCCAGAGGTCGCCACAGATCCGAAGGTGGTTGGAGGTTTGCGCACTTTCGCGCGCTACTGGTGTATACAAGATGCATTGTGAAGATGATATACTTCTAGGCTTTATTTATCTGGAGAAACTTGAACAAAGTTATATACATATGACATATACATATACATATACATATATATATATATGTATATACTTATTTATGTATTTACATATATTATGTATACATGTATATCTATATACAAATATGTATATATTACTACACCCCTGCTTTTGGGACTTTGAAACAACCTATCGGGCACAGGGCACGGCGGATCATAGAGGCAGCGTCTGCGGAGCAAGAGAGACGCAAGAAAGCTGAGAGCAACTTAAGCAACCCCAGGGTTTAGGGTTTAGGGTTTAGGGTTTAGGGTTTTAGACCTGCAGGAGACGCTGCCGTGTCCGCTGAACCCTGTACAGCAGCTGGTGAGCCATTCCATTCCAAAGCATCAACACAAGCAGAACCCAAAGCAAGACCCCTCACCCAGACCCCCCCCCCCCCGGCAAAAAAACAAACATCCCACATCCCAGGCCCATCTGTCCACCTCGCAGCTAAGCAGCTCTCTGAAACCCCAAGACCCAAGACCCGTTCATCTCCAGGTTCTCCAGCGCATGGACATCTGCGTTCTGCGGAGCGGCATGGAGCTGGCAACCGCGGAAGTCAAGGGGGATATTGCCAAAGCCCGAAAGGAGTTGTCGAAGCAGAACAAGGTGGCCACCGGCAAGTTAAATGGCTTTCTACTAGTTGATACTAATTGCTTAAGAACCCCAAAAGAATAAAAAAACTAGAATCCTTATATTGCCCTTAAGGAAGAAAAGTTTTTTATTCTTGGGGGCTTCTTAAGCAATTGGTAGCTTTTGTTCGCCTTAAGAAGCCTTGGGAGCCCAGTGGCACCCTTGTCCCCTGCTTTTGGGTGCAAGGTTCCCTCATAAAATGCCCAACCCAAATTTCGGGTTTAGGGTTTAGGGTTAGGGTTTAGGGTTTAGGGTTTAGGGTTTAAGGTTTAGGGTTTAGGGTTTAGGGTTTAGGGTTTAGGCGGTTTAGGCGGTTTAGGGTTTATTTTGATAGGGTTTCTGGGCTACCAAGAAGCCTAAACTGTTACGGGGAAGTTAGCGGAAACATCTCCTGAAAGGTGCTTGACAGTACTAGTTGTAGCCTGCAAAAAGACGCTTTGGGTTTTCAAGGTCGGACTGGACTGAGTATGTCTCAGGACTGTTGCGATCCTAAACCCTAAAAACTAAACCCTAAACCCTCAATAAACCCTAAACCGTTGTGGGAGGTGAGGTAATTTGCTGCTCATGTCAGTCAAGGGGTATGGCAAGTGCATTTTGTGAGTCAGGTCGCGATGCCAAGTCGGTTCGTCGTTTCTGTCGCTTTCGTTTTCTCTCTCCTTCCTTTTTCTCCACCGCTGGGATGCGAGAGAGAGAGAGAGAGAGAGAGAGAGAGAGAGACAGAGCGAGAGACAGCCCAGAGCGGCTCCCTTCCCTGGGGGGGGGGTCATACGCCTAGCAAGCAAGCAAGCAAGCAAGACAGCCCAGAACTCTGGTAACGCTAATTTGTTATTGTTATGTTCTGCTGGCTGCCCTTTCCCTCCCCCCTGGAGTTTCAAGTTTGTTGGCGCAGATGGGCACAGGCTCAGGGGGCAGAGGTTCTGCCTGCGGGCACTTCAGAAGACTCAAGAAGCAGATGAGGAAGAAAAATGACCAGTGCGGGAATGACCAACCCTAAGCCCTAAACCCTAGAAAAAATCTAAATCTGGAGCTTTCCAGCCGAAGTGTGTGGCAACCAGGTGTCCAGAAAGCAAGGGAAGAAGTGGCTGGTTGGTGGACGTTTCGGCGCACAGAACCTTAGTTGCTGAGTGAGTACACTTTGCACTTTTTTGGATACCAGAATCCCCTATAGAACTGAAACTGTGCGCCTTCTGGGGGCTTATACCCTAAACCCTAAACCCTAAACCCTAAACCCTAAACCCTAAGCCTATGAACTCAGCAACTAAGGAACAACCAGCCGGTCACGGTCGGAAGGATCCTGACGAAGCAGCGCGACCTGCCGCCAGAGGACCCTTGGCTGAAGAGGGAAGTCTTAGTAGTTTAGGGTTTAGGGTTTAGGGTTTAGGGGTTTGGGTTTAGGGTTTAGGGATACTAGAACCGCCTATAGAACTGAAAGTGTACGCTTTTTTGGGGAACTCAGAAACTCAGCAGTCACCCAAGCAGCAGCAATTTAAAGTCAACGGCCTGGGTACCAAGCACCAACAGAGCTGACCAATGCCAGCTGTCTTTTTTTGACTGCGACCCAAAGATCTGTTGAGGACATCTGTGCCATCATCGACATCCAGGCGCGACCGGGAAACTACACAGGTTGAGAACCAAGATCGTGAACCCTAAACCCTAAACCCTAAACCCTAAACCCTAAACCCTAAACTACCCTAAACTACCCTAAACTACCCTAAACCCTAAACCCTAAACCCTCAGCCGCCTACATAAACGGAGTTTCCCCCTCAAAAGCAGAACTGGCGACCCAAGAGTTGGCAGCCTTTCGGGGCATTTCTCAGATGGCTTCCGCCTTGAGTGTCCATATACTCCTTATGGCCTTATGGTATAGACTTGGGCCTTTAGGGTTTAGGGTTTAGGGTTTAGGGTTTAGGGTTTGGGCAACCTCTTCAAGGCCCGACACAGGTACTTTATGGTTACATGGTCCGTTGGTTGTGCCTCTCCCCGAACTCCGAACCACAAGCTCCAACATCTCAGAGGGGGCCAACCCCTCCCCCCCCCAAAAAAAAATGAATAAAAAGCATGAATGAAAACAACAAACACAAGAAATCAACATAACAATAACATAGTACATAAAATCGACATGAACGTAAATTAGAATATATATATATATATACGCATATAACCGTCCCCTCGTCTAAAAGGATGTCCAGGTAACTCTTGCTTGGAGGTTCATGGGTCCTGTCAAATTCTAAGTACGGTAGGGTGATAAGTAGGGTAGTCAATATCGTTCAGCTGGGTCAGCACTTGATCTAGAGTATGCATATCCCCACGTATGTACCCCTAAACCCGAAACCCCAAACTCTAAACCCTAAACCATAAACCCAAAACCCTAAATCCCAAAATCTAACCCCAAACTCTAAACCCCAAACCATAAACCCAAAACCCTAAATCCTGCACCGAACCTCAAAGCAGGGATAGCGGCAAAGGACCCCGATGTGCAGACCAGCCAAGCGCTGAGCAGCGACGAGGATGAGGATGACGACAAGAATAAGCAGGCGCCAGAGGATTGAATTAGGGCTTAGGGCTTAGGGTTTAGGGTTTAGGGCTTAGGGCTTAGGGTTTAGGGCTTAGGGCTTAGGGTTTAGGGTTTAGGGCTTAGGGCTTAGGGCTTAGGGTTTAGGGCTTAGGGTTTAGGGTTTAGGGACTTCTGGAGTTTCGGGCAATTAGAGTTACTTAAACTCTGTGTGTTTTGTGTTCTTTTATGTCGGGCATGTCATTGCATGAAGCTCCCAACTTCCTGGAGGTCATTCGCGGCGGTGAAAACTTTGCCTTACGCAGGGTATGTACGGCTGTGGGGCCTTAACGATGAGAATAGGGTTTGGGGGTCATGATTAGCACAAGTATGTAGGTACCCTGAGGGTCAGTCGTAGTAATTATTCCGACCTAAACCCTAAGCCCTAAACTATGCTTATAGCGCCCTTCTCCCGACCAAGCCCGCAGCGTGGTTTAGGTTTCAGGGCCACGGGTGAGGGAGACCTGTAGCAAGCAAAAAACAAACGGGTCATGGGTTACATGCCCTATGAACCCTGATAAACCCTTCAAACCCCTATAAATACAATCCTAAACAGAGGCCCCCCAATCCTCAGCCTTCCTGGAGCCAAAGCCTAGAGCCATTGTGAGAGATTTCAGGACTTGCGTTGGGGACCTTGTGCATGAGCCCCTCCTAATGTTGACCCCCCGCCCCTGCCCGTCATAATTCCCCCATACACTACAAATATAAGTATGACGGGAGGATTTAATATTACGCATGGGGTGGGGAGGGTTTAATATAAGAGGAAAGGGATTGTACATATTTCTGAAATCATGTGAGGGGGGGGAGCTGAAGGGAGATGTCCCTATGTTGTTTGCAACAAGGAGGAGTGGGCACAGGAGGGAAGGCCAGGCTTGGGGCCAGCGTCGTAAACCTTTGAGCCTCGTGCTGTTTTGCGCTTAGGGTCTGGCGCTGAGTGTGGTGGTTTAATGCCTTGTGCGTTGAAGGTGCATGGGGGACGAGGTTCCTCGTTGTCTGGGGATGGCAGTTGCGTTTCTCGATCATGCAGGTCGTCGCGCGCCAACGCCACATGAGACGAAGGGACACCTGCTTGCCCTTCTGGGGTTGGGAGCCCATCCCTTTCCCTTCAGGAAGGGTTTTGGGCTTTGGGTTTTGGGCTTTGGGCTTTGGGTTTTGGGCTTTGGGTTTTGGGTTTTGGGTTCAGGGGTTTGGGTTCAGGGTTTAGGGAGCCCATCGCTCGTGGGAAGAGCGCAGATTGGCGACTGTCTGGGTTGGCAAGCGACGAAGGCTAGTGCTACAGGGGCCTGAATAAGTAGGATAGGGTTTTGGGGGTTCAGGCTTCAGGGTTTAGGGTTTAGGGTCTAGTAGCCCGGTAGCTTCAGCCACCAATCCGGAAGCAGTAAACGTAAACCGGTTAGGAACATGACCTTTAGGTTTGAGAGGTTAGGGGGTTAGGGGTTTTAGGGTTTAGGGCGAACCCTAAACCCAACAGATGCGCGATCATGCAAGATGTCTCAAATGGGCGGGTGCTATGTCCAGTAGCCTCAATGCACAGCTGCCCAAGCCCGGTTCTTCATAGACTGAAGGAGTTTCAGGGTGAACCTCCAAAACTAATGTAGCCCTAAACCCTAAATCCTAAACCCCTAAACCCCCGCCATTTGCGCCCAGGAAGATGTCCACATCTTGCCTCACAAGCCCGTTTTTGGCTCCATGGGGCCTCTGCGATTCCAGCTCAACATCCTGTTGCTTGCCTAACCCCCCCCCCCCCCTTCCGCAGCAACAAAAAAAAAGGTTGTGGGGCTTTATGGGTACTTAACTACTTAACTACTTATAAACTCGGGTTAGGACCTTATCTAGGTCGCACCCCCCCCAGCCCACCATTAAGAACCACCAGAGCTCAAGAGAGCCCTCTTGTTGATGCTTCAAGCATACTTGTAGGGGGGGAGGGGTCTATGTTTCCCTAAAACCCTAAACCCTAAACCCTAAACCCTGAAAAAGCCCCTAGGCCCCCAAAATAAACCCGTTGAGCCCTACAGCACAATCCCCTACCTCCATGCCACATCGTTCGCAGTTCCTGAGGCATTCTGGGTAGTCCGAGATACAGAGATCTGTAGTTTGCTACTATTTGCTCATAAGACCCCCAAAAAAGCACGAAATCTTCTTCCTTACAATTTTAAGGGCCATATAGGGATGATTGTCTTATCTTCTTCCTCATAAGGGTAACATATGGATTACTATAAGGGGGATTTTTCGAGGGACGGTTAGTCCAAAACAACCCTTTCAGAATAGTTAAAATGTAGGGTTTTTTGTTGTTCTCTTCGTTCGCACAGGTCATTCATGTAGTGTCCAGATAGTGTTCACTGGTGATGAAAAAGCCCTCATGATAAGATCTGTTCATGGGGCTTTTTTTCCATCACCAGTAAACATTAAAACGAACATTAAAAGTAAGTGCTATTAAGTGGCAATAAAGGACTAATAAAAAGGCCCCCACTTTGTTCCCAGAATATTATAACTTATGCGGTCACATGTTCACTTATGTTTATTATATTGTGCTCTCCTCGTACAATATCCGTATTAAGACCTCGTTCGTACGCTATTAATATGATCACACGCACGAAGTTTGCCACAATATTAATACTGTTCTCGCTTCGTCTTTGCCTCACGCCCATAGTATACTCACAATGCCGTGTTCACAAGGCGTGAATTGTAAAATTAAGGGCGTGAAAACGAGTGAATGAATAGATGAAAAAGCCCCTTAGAAGGACTCATTAACAGACGGGCTTTTTCACATTCACATCGTTCACTCCCCCAAAACCCATTAAGAATATCAAAACAATTGAAAGTTCTTAAGCGAGTGGTAGTTTGAGGACTTAGACTTGCAAGGGTTCTTGGGTTCAGGGGCGAACTTAGAGTCGGAGACTAGGATTTCCCCAATGCAGTGGGTTTAGGGTTTAGGGTTCAGGGTTCAGGGTTTAGAGTTTAGGGTTTAGGGTTTAGGGTTTAGGGTTGCGCCTTTGAGGCAATACATCCTGGACTTCTCCAGCCTGCAGCAGGACACCATCGATGAGTCAGAGGAGCGCAGGATGCGGGAGGAGCCTAGGCAGATGTACCGTAACGTGCCATTGTGATTTCGAATTTATACGATATATATATATATATATACATATATATATATATATACATATATATATATACATATATATATATATATATATAAAGTGCTACATAAAAGTAGAAACATACTGTTGATGTTATGTCATGTTATACTATACTGTGGGCTCAAAAAAACACTAGGTACTTTGTAAACAACAAATGTTTTACATCCTGCCACATCGGTCTAAGCGCTCTGAACCTCGAGAGTCGCAAAGGCAGAGGGGGCATCGGTTGTGCCAGTTGGGGAATCAGGGTTTAGGGTCCTCTTCAGGATTCAGGAGTTTAGCGTTTTTTGTTGGTCACGTTTGCGGCAGATGGGTTTTGAGAGCCGTTTCAGGTTGCCGTCTTTTCTGCAATCGTCTGTGCCATAGGTTCAGAAGCATGTGTGTGGACTCGTCCGCATACTCCAAGGAAGAGGAGAAGCAGATGGAGAAAACTCTTGAGGACCGGGACGCCGGCTTGAATGTCGAGAAGGTGCTGATGAGTTCGGGCGAGACCATCAGGCTGGATAACAAGTACATCAAGAGCAACTTGGCTTCGACGAAGTCCCCAAACCCCAAACCCTAAACCCTAAACCCTAAACCCTAAACCCGCGTCTAGGTTTAGGATCTGACATGGGATGTTCGGGTTCCGTTCTAGGACCCAGTGCCATCTTTTCTCTTTTTTTTTAGGGTTTGGGTTTCCTGTAAGCCAAAAAGGGCACCTTATTCCCAGGCTACTCTCTTGGGCCTAGTTTCTGGAAGAATGAGCCGAAGAATTACATGCAAAAGCAGCTCTCGCTAGTGCATGAACGGTTGTTTGGCAATCATTCAAAGGGTAGTTACCATGGATCTTCTATAATAGGGTAGTTCCATTGGCCCCTAAAATGGTCCCTTACCTCCCTTAAAGTGTTCTGAAGTACGGGCCTCTTGGGCTCTATGGGGCACATGAGGGGTATATATGAGCCAGCATAGGCGCACCCCCAACCCCCCCCCTCCCCCCCCCCCCCCCCCACCCCCACCCCCCCCCCCCCCCCCCCAATGGTGGGTTTTGGGTTCCGCCCCCCGCCCCCCCTTTCCGTGGTTCATGCGCTTGGGGTCTAGGGATTTTTAGGGTTAGGCTGTGCAAAGCAGGCCAGATGCAAAAGGGTTAGGCTGTAGACTGTAGAGTTCAGGATTTTCACTCTGACCCCCTTGCTCCTTTGGTTCACTGGTTTACAGTTCAATTAGGGTTCAAGGTGTTTGGTAATGGTAGGTTTACGGTTTACCCTCTCCCCCCTGTGGTTCGTGGGTTTGGTTCAGGGTTCAGGGTTAAAGCAGTTAAGGTTTCGGGTTTACCCTTCTCCCCGCCTGTGGTTCATTGGTGGGTTTGGGTTTTAGGGCTTTGGGCTTTAGGGTTCAGGGTTTGGGGTTTAGGTTGAGGGTGTCTCTCCCCCCCTCCTTCCCCCCTCTCGCCCCTCCCTCCCCTCCCACCCCCTCCCTCCCCCCCTCCCCCCCCCTCCTCCCCCCCTCCCGCCCCCCTCCCTCCCCCCCTCCCTTCCCCCCTCCCTCACCTCATGGTCTTCGTTCATGGTGGGTGTTGGGTCCCTTCCCCTTTTCTCTGTGGTTCATGGTCTGTGCTTCATGGGTTAGGGTTTAGGGATTTCCCCCTGTGGTTTGTGGGTTGACGGGGGGGTCGGCTACGCGGAACGCGGGCGCGTATAGGGGGGGGGGGGGGGGGGCCCTTTTAAGGGCACAGACTAAGGGACCATGCAACTACCCTTAGAATCATCTTCTTCCCAGGTATGGAGGAGATCAACAGCAACACCGACGGCTCCAGCGAATTGCATGAAAGCGACGGCACACCCGCGGGAAGCAATCTCAGCAACTTGGCCCCGCCAGAAGACCCTACCAACCATGAGTCCTGGTCCTGTTCTAGGGTGGCGCGTGTTATGGCATCATGTTCATGCGGTACCGCTCAACCCGGGTCACAAGGTAAGATCATTAGCTATTTGACGCTAAAGCTGGAGCGAGGAGTGAGAGAGAGCGGAAGAGCCTGCGAATACGGGTGCTGCTTTTGGATGAGTTCGCTTCGTGCGTCCGTTCAAGAAAGTTTGGCTTTTTCCTTCCGCACAATTTGCAGGTTGTATGGGGTGTTGGGTGAAGCGTGCGTTGCTTCGCAATCTTTACATCTAAAAAGACATGCTCCTTTGCAGAGGCAGAGGGCCGAGAATTGGGGAAAACTAAGGCAGCAACGATGTAAAGTCACCCGCCTCGCACATGGGTGGTGCAAGGAGCCAAAGGCATCGCGAGCAGTCCATGGACAGACCCAAGTTTGGTCGACTCGCCAGCTGCTGCAATTGGGTTCTTCTCAACTTGGGCTGCCTCCGTGGTGGTGACCATGGTAATGACCGGATGAAGCAACGGGTGGCCCGCAAGTTCCGTGAACTGGACGAGGATGGTGAGGGAATCTCCCTGGCAGACGTGGCCACGCTGCTGACCGACGTTCTCGGGCGCAAGCTGGACCGAGATGCAATGTTGCGACTAGCTGCCAACGTCTTCGACAACTCCGAGAAATCGGAGCAAGACCTGCTGCAACTTGCAGATGTCCTGAAATCACTCGAGGCCGTGACGGCGGACTTCAACGCCTTGGTCAAACGTCGGGAGCAGCACAGCTCTGGGCAGACCGCCAATGATGGAGAGATGTCCTGGGCCTGTGTTCAGCGACTGTCAGGCTTGGTTCTGTCGCCCGACAGCTTTTGGCTCAAGATTTGGGACACCCTGCGGCGGCTCGTGATCATCTACATCATGCTCGAAGTCCCGATGCGCTTTGCCATAAGCAACGTGGACATGTTGCCGGAGCCGAGCAGGACGATTCTCCTAGTGGTCAACATCTCCTTTGATGCTTTCATGTTTCTCAACATGCTGCTGACCTTCATGCGGGGATATGTCCAGAGCTCTGGCGTCACAGTCATGGACTTTCATCAAATTCGCGTCCGTTACCTCTTGGGAGCCTTCAGCTGGGATGTATTCGCCTGCTTCCCAATTGATCTTCTGGTCGCAGGTTTCGAAGACTCACGGGAGTACCTTTGTCATAGTTGGGTAACATTTTACTTTTTCAGAGTACTTCAACCCATTAAGGAACAACAAATTAAGTTTTTCATAGTATCCCAACCATGAACTAGGTACGCGGCATGGAGGTTGTTCAAGCTGCTTCACCTACGGCACTTCTTTGGGAAGGGGCGGGTGTCAGAGAGCTCTGGCGGCTTCCTCCTTACCACCTTCAAGATCATGCTGCAACTGTATGTGTTGTTGCATTTCATGGCATGCACCTTGTGGTACCTGGGAAACGGCTGGCCCTCGCAGCAGGGGTTTGACGAGCAGGCGATGGAGGGTTATGATGGTCCGGGCTGGTTCCGAGTCTATGAAGGCATGACGCACTTGGAGGGTTCCATCAATCAACCTGAAGTACCTGTGCTGGAGCAATATGTGCTGTCACTTTATGGCATGATGCTTATCCTGACCAATGACAGCACGGACTTGCTCAATCCATCCAGCTACTTCGAGCTCGGCTGGCTTCTGATCTGCTTCATCGTCTCCGTGGCCCTGAGCCATGCTTGCAAACAAGTTTAAAAAAAAAAAAACAGCATCTCAAGTTGCCACAGTGTTGCCTACTGAACTGAAACGAGCGAGCCATGGCAGTTGCAAAAACAGAAAAATCTCTTGGCCACAGTGTTGCCTTAAACGAGCTCACGAGCTTTCGTTACCAAGGAATGGTCACATTGATGGCGCGCTGGTGGGCAAAGTCATCTCGCAAGACGAGTCGATTGTGGAGGCACGCGTGATGCGATCTCGCGCGGCTTGGCCGCAGTATTGGTTTAGGGTTGTTGCTCTTTTTGAGACCCAACGTCCGATGCTGCTGAAGCCCCTTTTCTGAATGCAACCCCCAGCCCTAAAAAGGGGGCCTTAATGGATTGGAATGGGGTTTTGGGGGGGCTCGTGATGGTGTATAGAGGCGAGAGAGGTGGGTAGAGCGTACAGTGCTCCAGATGCTGAGAGTGGGGGAACAAGTGGCACAGCTCAATCTGCCCCTCGTATACCTCCTGGCTCTGACTTTCGATGCTCTTCTACGTTTATTCTCATCTCATGGAATGCACCAGCTACCAAAGGGTCCAGATATGAAATATAGTGTATACTTGGGCTTTAAAGGGGGTCCTACATGGCAGCGTTAGGGCCCAAATATATACTATTTTGGTACGTGCTGGGTTTAGGGTTTAGGGCTTACCTCTTTCGGAATGGTAGCAGTATAGGGTATATGACCCGCCCCCCCCCCCCCCCCCCAAGTTTAGGAATCACTTTGGTCCCAAAGGTCTCCGGTTGCTTGTTGGGAGTGACCGCGTCAATGAATGAGGTTGACACGTTCATCTCCATTTAGGGGTTAGGGATTAGGGTTTGGGGTTTCAGGTTTAGGGTTTGGGGTTTAGGGTTTAGGGTTGACGGTTTAGGGTTTGGGGTTTGGGGTTGAGGGTTGAGGGCTTAGGGACAGCGTCAATGAATGAGGTTGACACGTTCATCTCGAACTCGGGCCTTCCACCCGAACTGGCCGAGCAGATCCGTCTCAACACGGACTCTGCCTCCACGCAGGCTGGGGTTTTAGGGTTTAGGGTTTAGGGTTTAATGTTAGGTGTTGCCGGCAGCCTCAGTCCGTGCTTAAAAGGGTTTAATGTTAACGTCGCTTTAATAACCCCCCCCCCCCCCAAACTTGTTTTGGTCCCCGGGGTTTGGAGGGGTAGAAAAAAACGAGTGGGTGCCAATAATGCGGATTCTGGGGGTCTTTGGGGGTTTAGCTGTCAGGGTCTGACAAGACAAGCAATCTCAAACGAGATCTGCTTCTCTAGAGCCTCGGAGCTCGAAAAGTCTTCTCTGCAAGTAAAATTTCTGATTCCTGGCCGGCCAAATATTACTGTTGTCACCCCATTATTTTTTTCACCGGACCCCCCTATATAGACTTGTTTACACACATCGGCCCGAAAACCTCCCGTAATGGAAAGTAGTCTTCGGCTGAGCCCCTCTGGCCCGGCGAATATTACAGTTGCCACCCCATTTATAGATGTGAGGTTAACATTAGGGTTTAGGGTTTGGGCTTTAGGGTTTTGGCGTTAGGCTTGATAGGGTTTAGGGTTTTTGGTTTAGGATTTAGGGTCGCGACGTGCTTTTGAGCCCGCGACAGCGTTTTCCCGACGACCTTCGGAAGACAAGGGTTTAGGGTGCAGGATGTAAGGTGGCGGGTTTAGGGTAGGATTCAGTGTTTGATGCAACATCATTGCTATTGACGAGGGGTCTTGACACCACTACATGCGTGATGCTGATCCGCGAGTCTTCGTGAGAGTTGATGTGGGACTGACAGACACTGTGCACCTCACTGCTCGACCCAAACGAGTCAACTGAGCCACCCTGAGCGATTTCTCCGAAACGAAGGACTTTATAGGGACTTAGGGAGTATCACAAGAAATTGCGGCCCTCCACGGTTTTGGGAGCACACTAGGCCGCATTTGGGGCGCATTCATGAACATGATCTCTGACGTTGTGCACCTTTGATGCCAGTTCTTAATATCGGCCGCTTGCAGGACTGGGGGAATGCTCGTTTCTGCCAGAACCTGCGCAGACATGCAAAAGTTGTGGCCTAAACGCGAAACCCTAGACCCTAAGCCCTAAACCCTAAACCCCCCCGCTAGGGAGCCCCGAGAACACAACTTAAATATGTAGTGGGCCCCCGAAGCCCTACACCCTAAACCCTCGGGTTATACAACCAACCACCCCACCCCCCCAAAGCCTTTTCTTTCCAGGCACCAGAAGCCTTCAGCAGATATCAGCCCCATCGGAAGCCTTCAGTCTTTGGGTATTTCTTGGCCGCCACCAGGTATAAGCAAGAACAAGTCGCCCACCACGCGCGCCTGCACGTAGCCCCACAACCCTCCAAAACAGGCCGGGGGCAGCGCACTAAAGGGCGACCGGACTGCCGACCAGCGGACGATGGAAGCAGTCCTCACGCAGCTTGGGGCACTGGTGAGCCTTCAGGGCATTAGGAGGTGAAGGCGTTGTAAAGCAGCTTATGGCTTTTAAGCCCTAAAGATTCAAGGCCGAAGGGTTTAGGGTATCTTTCGGGCTTTCCAGGCCTTCCTGGTAGAGGTTGTGAGGCTTGAGTCAGTCAAGGCACTAAGGTGCGACCCTGATAAGGGACCTCAGGGGTTATTTAGGGGCCATTCCGCGGCTACTTAGGAAAATAGGGATTATTCTCAGGTATATTTTGGTGTTGTATAAGGGAAAAAGACTAAGGATCGCTTCAGAGGGTCCCTCCTTAAACCTTCTTAAGTCCATGTGCCGGAGCTCTCCGAGCCCAAAGTTCACCGGAAGGCCTGTGACCCCACGTGAGGTTGATCTAAGCTTTAACCATAGGGTTCCCTATTTTAAGGGGCTGCGCCCATGGGCGGGCAGCGCAGGCAGAAACGCGGGGCGAGCAGATCCGTCAAGGGTTTATAGTTTAGGGTTTAGGGTTTAGGGTTTTTTTTAGGGTTTAGGGTTTAGGGTCTTATGCCCGCCTTTTGGGGGGCCTCATGCTCCTGATGCGCCCCCGGGGTCCCACCCCGGGAGCCGCTGATGCTCATGATGCGCGCCTGGGGGTCCCGGGCTGGACCCGCTGATGCTCATGATGCGCGCCCTCTGGGGGCCTCCGTGGCGACGCAAAAAACCACGAAAAAAAAAAACCGTTCACCGGCGGCACGCGGGGGTCGGCGGCACTGGCGTCCGGCCTAATTCTGCTTCGCAGAAGGCCAGAGGCCAGCAAGGCTATTCCCGGGACGACCCGGGCTAAAAGGTCCGCATTTGCTCGGTCCTTTGGGGACCTCGCGCTGCCCGATTTAATGGCTACCGCCAATGCCGCCGACCCCATCCTAAGAATTGAAGCACGCTCTGTCCGGCTCAACCTCGACAGGAGGGGGGGGTGGGGGGTGGGGGGGTGGGGTGGGGGGGGTGGGGGGTGTGTGGGTGGGGGGGCGGAAGGCAGGCGGAGGGGGGGGCATATGGGCGGGTGGGGCGGGGGATTGCGGGGGGGAGCGGTCCCGGCTTAAAACTCAGCTTACCTAGGGCCGCTGAAACCATGAAGCATGGGGCCAGGGCCATGATGGGGAGCGGAGTGGGCGGAGAGGGCGGGGGGAGTGGAGGAAGCGGGCATGCACTGGAGCCCTTGGCACCATAGGGGAAGGCCCTGGGCCGCTGGGGCCATGAAGCCATGGGGCAGAGGGCCATGCGGAGCGGTCGGGGGGAGTGGAGGAAGCTGGCATGCACTGGAGCCCTCAGTTCAATGGTAGAAGGCTGGAGCATGGGACCATGGGGGTAGGGCCCTGGGCCGCTGGGGCCATGAAGCCATGGGGTCGGAGAGGGCGGAGAGGGCGGGGGGAGTGGAGGAAGCGGGCATGCACTGGAGCCCTGAAAATTCAGCTTAGGGCCTAGTGGCTGGGGTCATGGGACCCTGGGGGTAGGGCCCTGGGGCGCTGGGGCCATGAACAACTTAGGGCCTATGGCAGAAGACCATGGGAGTAGCCATGGGGCGGGGGAGTGGAGGAAGCGGGAATGCGCTGGAGCCCTTTAAACTCAGCTTAGGGCCTAGGGCCGCTGGGGCCAGAGGGCCATGGGGAGCAGTGGGAGTGGGCGGAGAGGGCGGGGGGAGTGGAGGAAGCGGGCATGCCCTTGGAGCATGCACTGGACCCCTTTAAACTCAGCTTAGGGCCTATGGTAGAAGGCTGGGCCATGGGACCATGGGGGTAGGGCCCTGAAGGGGCGCTGGGGCGGGCGGGGTGGAGCAACTTAGGGTCTATGGCAGAAGGCTGGGCCATGTTAGAATGGGGGTGAGCCCTAAAACTCAGCTTGGGTATGGTGAAGGCCGGGGCTGGACCTGGGGGTAGGCCCTGGGCCGCTGGGGCCGAAGGCTGAACCATGGGTGAGCCCTAGCTGGCCAGGGCCATGAAGCCATGGGCCAGAGGGCCATGGGTAGCAGTCGGAGTGGGCAGAGAGGGCGGGGGGAGTGAACGGCACTGGAGCCCTTCAAACTCAGCTTGGGGCCTATGGTAGGGCCCCGGGGCGCTGGGGCCATGAAGCCATGGGGCCAGCCATGGGGAGCGGTCGGAGTGGGCGGAGAGGGCAGTGAGCCCCAAAACTTAGCTTGGGTATGGTGAAGGCTGGGGCCATGGACCTGGGGGGGGGGGGGGGGGCAAGGCCTGGGCCGCTCATGGGGAGCGGGGGAGGAAGCGCTTAAAACTCACTGATGGCCCATAAGGGCGTAGGCCCTGGGCCGCTGGGGTTATGGGGCCATGGGATGCGGAGGGTCTGGCTGCTGGGGCCATGTTCGAAGCCATGAAAGCCATATGAAAGTCATGGGGTCAGAGGGCCAGCAGGCATTGCACTGAGCCCCTCAGCTTGAGGCCTCTGGTAAAGGCTGGGGGGGTTGGGGGGGGGTGGGGGGGGGGTGGGGGGGGTGGGGGGGGTGGGGGGGGTGGGGGGGGGGGGGGTGTGCGGGGGTGGTGGGGTGGGGTGGGGGGTGGGGGGGGGGGGGGGGGGGGGTGGGGTGGGGGGGGTGGGGGGCGGTGCGGGGGGGGGGTGGGGGGGGGGGTGTGGGGTGGGGGGGTGGGTCGTGGGTGGGCGTGGGGGCGGCGCGGCGGAAAAACGGAGGGGGTGGGGGGGTGGGGGTGGGGGGGGGTGGGGGGGGGGGTGGGGGGGGCGTGGGGGGGGGGTGGGGGGTGTGTGGGGGGGGGGGTGGGGTGGGGGTGGGGGGGGGGGTGGGGGGGGGGGGTGGGGGGGGGTGTGGGGGGGTGGGGGGCGGGTTTTTGGGGGGGGTGGGGGGGGGGTGGGGGGGGGGTGGGGGGGGTGGGGGGGGGTGGGGGGGGGGTGGGTGGGGGGGGGGGTGGGGGGGTGGGGGGGGTTGGGGGGGGTGGGGGGGGCGTGGGGGGGGGGTGGGGGGTGGTGGGGGGGGGGGGGGGGGGGGTGGGGGGGGGGTGTGCAGGGGGAGGGTGGGGGGGGGGGTGGGGGGGGGTGGGGGGGGGTGGGGCGGGGGTGGGGGGGGGGGGGGGGTGGGGGGGGGTTGGGGGGGGGTGGGGGGGGTGGGGGGGGGGGGGGGGGGGGGGGGGGGGGGGGGGAGGGTGGGGGGGGGGGGTGGGGGGGGTGGGGGGGGTGGGGGGGTGGCGTCGGGTGGGGGTGGGGGGGGGGGTGGGGGTGGGGGGTGGTGGGGGGGTGGGGGGGGTGGGGGGGTTGGGTGGGGGGGGGGGTGTGGGGGGGGGGGTGGGTGGGGTGGGGGTCGGAGGGGGGGGGGGGGGGGGGGGGGGGGTGGGGTGGGGGTGGGGGGTGGTGGGGGGGGTGGGGGGTGGGGGTTGGGTGGGGGGGGGGGCGGAGCGGGCGGGGGAAAACGGAGGGGGCGCAGGCATGCACTGGAGCCCTGAAGAATTAGCATCAAGGGCATGGGGCAGAGGGAGGGCGGGCGTGTGCTGGAACCCTTTAAATCATTGCCTTGTCCGTGAGGGGGTGGGGTGGGGGCGGGTGGAGCAACTGGCAGAAGGCTGGGTCATGGGAATACGGGGTCTGGTGAAGGCTGGTGAAGGCTGGGGCCATGGACCTGGGGGTAGGCCCTGGGCCGCTGGGGGCTGGGGCCATGGGACAGGTCTGGGCTGTTGGGGCCATGAAGCCACAGCCAGGGCGGAGAGGGCGGGTGCCGAACATGCATTGGAGCCTGGTAAGAAGGCTGAGGCCATGGGACCATGGAGGTAGGGATGGGACCATGGTTGTAGGGCCCTGAAGCGCTGGGGACATGGGGCCACCCATGGGACCATGGGGGTAGGGCCCTGGACCATGCGCGTGTCAGGGCTGGGCCGCAGAGGGCATGAAAAAGTGGTCGGGCGCAGTGGAGGAAGCGTTTTTGATAGAAGGCTGGAGCCAGGCTGCGGGGGCCATGAAGCCGTGGGGCCAGAGGGCCATGGACCTGGGGGTGGGCCTGGGCCGCTGGGGCCATGAAGCCATGGGGCCAGAGGGCCATGATGGGAAGCGGGCACGCACTGGAGCCCTGAAAGTGCCATGGAACCATGGGGGTAGGGCCCTGGGGCGCTGGGGCCATGAAGCCATGGGGCCAGAGGGTCATGGGGGGGGAAGTGGAGCAAGTGCGAACTGGAGCCCTTAAAACTCAGCTTAGGGCCTATGGTAGAAGGCTGGGGCCATGGGACCATGGGGAATGGCGGGGTGGGTGGGGGTGGGGGGTGGGGGTGGGAGCGGCAAGCCTGTCACAGATGAGGTGGAAGGTCTAACACGCAGTGGGTCTTCACTGACGCCGCCCCCGGCTGGGGTCGGCGGATAACAGCCCGAAACTCCAAGAAACCACCTACAGATTCCACCAAGAGTCTTCCTAAGAAGCCCTCAACTCCAAAAAAAGTCACCGATAGAACCCCGGAATTTGGGATTCCCCTATACTAACAGTCCTTAATAGGGATTGTTAGTAGGGCGTACTCGAATCCCTATTAAGGAGCTGTTAGACTCTAAACTCTAAACCTAAACCCTAGACCCTATAGACCCTAAACCCTAAACCCTAAAGTGGATTCGTTAAGGAGCCTCTCGCGCGGCTTGCTGACGCGGATCGGCCGAAGGGTCTTCCTCAAGTGGCTCCAGGGGGCCCCCTGCCTAGACAGGAAACGGTTGTTTTTGTTGCTGCTAGATTTTTGGGTTTGGGGTTTAGGGTTTAGGGTTTGGGTTGGGAGGGGGGGGGGGTTGGGGGGCATACGTTTGGACCGGTTCCCTTATAAGCCCCTTTGAACCAAAAAGGCTAAGGCGAGGGTGCAACAAAAGAATATTTCGAGCTTTCAGAAGTTGAGTAGGTATCAGTTCAACGAACGCCCTACTTTGGGGGAGCCTTCTCTCCACTTCTCCCAGACCAATGTTAGGGTTTAGGGTTGAGGGTTTAGGGTTTAGGGGGTAGCGGGAGAAGTGGGGAAACATGTCCTTTCGTCACAGTCTCAAGGCTATTCCAGGCGTTTTGAGCTAGTAAAGAGGGCCTCTTAGGGTGCAAATGGTGCAAGTTGGGATGTTCCCCCTTATCCTAACAGTCCTTCGTGGGGATTCTAGTACCACGATTATTGTCCCCATGAAGGATTGTGAGTATGAGGGGGAACACCCCAAGGTATGTCCTATTTTTTGGGACCATCAACATTCAAGGAACCCCCAAGACAGGTCGCCCCTATTTTTCGAGCCCCACCCCCCCTCCCCCCCAATTTGAGCTGGGCTCAAAACGATGGTAATTACGGTAGGACATTTGCATGCTGAAGTGTCAAAACCCCTAAAAAAGTGACGGCGAACATTGAAAAGCGACGCCCCTTAACACCCTTGCAAAGCGCCGGGGAACACTGAAAAGCGATGCCCCCACTGCGCGACTGCTGAGTTCGGACGGTCGCTCATATGATGTGTGCTGCTTTCACGTGCTGGTTCCACACGTTAAACCCTTTCCTTCAGTCTTTTCTCCGACTTCTCACAATCGCCGGACATGTGCATGCCTGCAGTGTGGTTGCGAGGCTGCTAGGCAGGCGGCAACAAACCCTAAACCCTAAACCCTAAACCCTAAACCCTAAACCCCAAACCCGAAGCCTTCTGAAGGATGTCCCCGAGCAAAAGTGCCCTATGCCGAACTTGGCTCCCAGGTGCCGCTCTTCAAAGGCTGCTCTGAGCTTCGGCAGGTTGCCCTAAACCCTAAACCCTAAACCCTAAGCCCTAAGCCCTAAGCCCTAAGCCCTAAGCCCTAAGCCATAAGCCATAAGCCATATAAGCCCTAAGCCCTATAAGCCCTAAGCCCTAGAAGCCCTAAGCCCTACGCCGCGTTGGGTGTTGGGTTGGGGTGTATGGAGTCGGACATGTTCTTCTTTTTCGCCTCGTTGCAAGAAGCCCCAGAAGCCCCAACGGGAGCCTTTATTTTCTGCCACCATTTGCTTATAGAACTCCCCAAACGAGTATAAAACTAATAATCCCTATATGGCCCTTGTAACCCTAAACCCTAAATCCTAAACCCTCAACCCATATTGTTTTGAGGGGGGTTCTGAAAAGCAAACGTCGTGGTAAGGAGCCATTTTTCTTGCAGCTGGCCACCACCTGTCGCCTCTGGACCTTCTCCGCGGGCGCGTTCGTTAGCAGAGCACCCTGCCACATGAAGGTCTTGGGGAGTAGAGTACCCTACGAATTGCTTAAGAACCCCCAAAAAAGTAATTAAAAAAAAAAACATATTCTTCCTTATAAGGTAATATAGGGGTTGTTTTACTTTTTTGGAGGGGTCTTAAGCAAATAGTAGTACCAGAGAATGCTTCAAGATAAGAGAGCCAACCTCAGATGGAGCTGATTTCGCATACAAGCTGAGTTGCAGGATCCACACTCATTTGCCTTAGAGGTCCCGAGCCCTCTAAAACGCTAAGTCCCCCGATTTTCGCATAAGTTGTTTACTGGACAGGACCACATCTCAGCAGCGTACCAAAGACCCTGTGTGCGGAGGAACTTCGGGACTTTGGAGGCTTCATGAGGGTTCGGGGTTTACGGGTGTCGGGGCCTGTGTGCTGGTGCTGGAAAGTTAAAGTCAAAGATGCCAGGGCAGTTAAACCGTTTTGGCACTGGCTTTGCAGTTGTTTCTAACCTCGACCTTTTTGAATGGATCTGGAGTTCTCGCAAGCTAGAACGTCTCAAGCACGCCAAAGAATGAGAGCTAGGGTTTAGGGTTTAGGATTTAGGGTTTAGGACTGCTCTCCTGGAACAGCCCCTGGACATATGCCCATCTTCCACAGGCTCCAAGGACCCTCCTACAGAGGGACTAGTGGGGTTGGTTACCTTAAGTTGGGGTGTTCTCCCTTGTACTAACAGTTTAGGGTTTAGGGTTTAGGGTAACACTCCTTAATCGGGATTATCGTACCCCCGATTAGAATCCCTATGAAGGACTGTTGTTAACATCCCACACCTTAAGAGCCTCCTCTTAAAACCTCCTTTTGCGCAATGTCGCGATTATCAACCAATTCTCGGGGTCCCCACTTTCAACCTCTCTAAAGCCAGTTGTCCGTACACAAACAACCAATAGCCCCCCAAAGAACCCTAAACCCTAGCCCTAAACCCGAAACCCTAAACCCTAAACCCGAAACCCTAAGCCCTAAGCCCTAAACCCTAACTTTGGGATGTTCCGCGAGCCTAGGTCGGCGAACCGGCCTCCTTCCTGGTGATTCTGCGATCGGGATCCGTGCAGATCCGCGACGTCAACAATGACGAGGTGGGCGGCCACGGTTGAGGGTTTAGGGTTCAGGGTTAAGGCTCAGGGTTAGGGCTCAGGGCTCAGGGCTCAGGGCTCAGGGCTCAGGGTTCAGGGTTCAGGGTTCAGGGTTCAGGGTTTAGGGTTTATCAGAGCCTGGGTTCAAAAAAGGGTTTAGGGTTTGGGGTTTAGCGTTTTGTTTGGGGGATTCACTTTGGGATGTTCCCCCTTGCGCGAACAGTCCTTAGTCGGGATTCTATTCGGGGGTACCATAATCCCAACTAAGGACTGTAATACAAGGGGGAACATTCCAAGATTCACTTGGTAGCCCAGTGGTACTCTTTACATTCTTGTTGGTTCATGGACCCTTGATAAAGTAACCAAACCCCAACAAGGGTACGTACCCTGATTAGCAGATGGTTGCTGGGCTACTTCAAGTTCATCAGGGCCAGCTGAGTTAAGGATAGGCTTCCAAAATAGGGGTACCCCTAACATACCCTCACATACCCCCCCAAGTACGACAATCCTTATTATAGGTACCCCAAAAAAAGCTGCCCATATTTTTGAGAACCCACATATCAAAATCCACTTAGCATGTTCGGTGTTGCGGACGTCAGTCCGAAGACCCATCTTTCGAGTTTTTTCGGCCGAAGCTTCATATTTGAACACGCTGCTGCTGCTGAAGGAATGGCACGAAGATGGGTTTGGATTCACAGGGTTTAGAGTTTAGGGTTTAGGGCTTAGGGTTTAGGGCTTAGGGTTTAGGGTTTAGGGTTTCCAGAGCCACGGCATATTTTGGAAGACACCGCAGCTCTGCCAGGTTGACCGAGTGGAAGAGAAGGGCACGGCGTTCTGCGACATCTCCTGCATGTCCCGGTGCGAAGAGCTAGGGTTTAGGGTTTAGGGTTTAGGGTTTAGGGTTAGACCCTGAACCCTAAACCCTAAACTGGTCCAAACTAGGATGCCGATCGTCCTTTTGGGTTGGGTTAGGCAAATTCAGTCCTGGACCATGCCCAGCTCTCTCTCTCTCTCTCTTGCTTTCTCTCTCCCTCTCGCCTCGACATCTTCAAAACACGAAGTCGTAGGTCTGCTAGGATGCCTCATAGCCATAGTCCCTGTTAGTCTTTTGCTAGGGTTGATTTTTGGGGAGTGATGAATGGAGAGCAGCCGAGAGCGTGGCCCAACGGCTCAACGAACAGTCTGGGTTTTGGGGGTTCCCCCCTTTTTCTAACAGCTCCATTATAGGGAATATGGGTTTAGGGTTTAGGGTTTAGGGTTTAGGGTAATACATAGGGTGTACTATAATCCCGATGAGGGACTGTTGGCATACCCTAAAGTCAGGGCTTTGGTGTTTGGAGTCCTCGAGGCCATGTCCAGATCAACCGGCCTGGGAAATCTAAAGGGGTATAAGGAGGGACCCCTAGAGGGGTTCCTAAATCATATCCCCCTTTAAGTTGATAAAACCAATCAAGACATCATGTAGTCCTTACATACCTAAGTAGCGCCTAAATAGCCCACAAGGAACCCTTGTAAAGTCCCTGGCTCCCTCCTTTAGTCCCTTGACAATCCAGGTTTGGCCTGCGGCACAAGACGGCCATCATATGCGAGGAAGAGACGCAGCTCATAAAGCTACGCGCGGAGGACTCCCGGCGGCAGATGCCCAGGGCGATAGAGCAACCCTAAACCCTAAACCCTAAGGAGTACTCGAACTCGATGTGTGCTGGCGAAGCCTGCACAGCCTGACACCAGGAAACTCGAAAATGTGAGAGTCCCAAAACCTGCACGTTTCAGGGACCTTTTCACCCTAAACCCGAAACCCTAAACCCTAAACCCTAAACCCTAAACCCTAAACCCTGGCCTCAAGCCTTGCAGCTGAGGACCTCAACTTTGCCATGCAGCTGTTTTTGAAGGACCAGGAGACGACCCTCGGTTCCAAGATTTGCTATGTGATGATGAAAAGGGGGGGGGGGGTCTCCCCCCCACAGGCCCAAAACCCTATAAGCCCTAACCCTAAACCCAAAATCAGGGTACCTGTTTTTTGTGTAGGGAGGGTCCTATCTACATTGTACTTGGGGTATTTAAGGGGTGCCTCGGCATGCTGAGGATCAACAGCAACGTGGCAACTTGGCCTGAGTTCATGATCAAAGGTGTGTTCGCATAAGTTGAACAGGTATTTGCGCAGTTTAAACATTGACTTCGAAAGCGTGCCTAAACCCTGAACCCTGAACCCTGAACCCTAAACCCTAACGGATGATAAGGGATGTAGGTGGTTGCCGAGGCTTTTGTTATTGGAGCTCCGTTTGCGGGGACTGTCATACTTGTCAACCGTTGCCAGCCAGCTTCAATACATTGCCACAACCCGTAGACTATCTGCCGAGCGAGCCCTAAACCCTGAACCCTCAACCCGAAAACCCCCCGCCGATTTCCAGAAACTCTACAGCCCTTAGGCCCAGTTCACTTTTCACAGAGAAGGAACGTGGGCTCGGAAAGCCGCAAACCCTGCGACCCCTCAACCTGGATCAGGTCAGGATGCTGCCAGAGACTACCACCCTGGTGCATGATCAGGGCAACGAGCACGGCGGAGCAGCCATAGCCATGCCCATGAGCCCTTGCTTCAAAAGTGTTTGTGGGGATCATTGGGATCATGGGAGGGCTTGGGGAATTTTCGGAGTCTTTATGACTCTGAAATGCTTAGGGTTGGATGGGCTGGATACGGCTCTTTGCTTTGTTTTTGCCGCGGCCGACCGCCCGGAACCCCGGAACTCATGCATTTGCATCTCGACCTGGCAAGAGAGAAGTAATCAGCCAAGGACCCTTCTCCATGATGATGACTCGGAAGCACGCTCCGTGAGCACCAAGCGCAGCTTGTTTCCTTGAAGACTCCGAATGCAATGACTTCTGTTTTTTTGCACAGCTGTAGATATATTTGTATACATACGCATTTAGATTTAAACGTGAATCTGTATACAATCTATATATGATATGATCTGATCTGATCTGATCTGATATAGAACTGTACTGAGGATAGGTGGGCTAAGGACCTAGGTATCTCCAACCAGAACCTATGTTGCGCGTCGCGGGCCTGAGGGTTGAAGGGGCTCTTCCTTGAGTTTCGCACCCACGGACCAGATTCCCACGCAAACATGCTGGGACTTTGTCATTGTAGTTCCATGGTGAGAGTATGCCTTTATGGCAAGGACATATGAAACAGCCACAGAAATAGCGAACTACAGCTGGCGGTTTAGGTGTCAGCGTGAGCTGAATCCTACATTGCCCAAAACTTGAGGCAGAAAGCGAGACAAGGGTGGCGTTGACCTCTTCGCTGACCTGCGGCTCATCCACCATTGTCAAGCCGATTGAGGGCCTTTTTAACAGAGAATGATGCTTGGAGGTGCAGGTGTACTTATAAGTGATCAGTGTGGTTTTCCGTACCCCAAACAAGGTCATAACCAGTCATAGCTAGAAGTATACCTAAACCCTAACCCTAAACCCTAAGCCCTAAGCCCCAAACCCTAACCCTCCAAAGTACAGTAAGGTTGGCTTGTGGGATGAACGTCTGGGGGCTTCGGGTTCAGAGCCTCATGCCCCAGATTTTTTCTGGAACTGCAAGAACAAACCCACAGACGGCCGGAAGTTTATACTTGTATATGTTTTTTGTTATAGTATAATATTACACATGTTATATTTTCTGTTATAATATGTGTATACACACACACATATATATATATATCCTAGGTTATATTCTATTGCATGTTGTCTATTATATATGTATGTATAGATATGTGTTATAAGTGTCCGAATATGAGCAAGGTGCATTCACGATCTGAACCTGGAGGGTGTCGCAGACGCTGAGCCGAAAGAAGTTTTTGCTCTGGAAAGCCGCACCTGTCCATGATGCTCATGGTTAGGAGCCGCACGTAGCTGTGCCCCTCACTGCCATCCGCCATCCAAGGGGTTTAGGGTTTAGGGTTTGGGGTTCAGGGTTGCAAAAGGATTCAGGGAACGGGCTGGGCAGAAAGGGCAGCAGTCGAGTCTCTTGTGTTTAAAAGGGTTTGTCTACAAGGCGGCTACCTGTCGGAATCCGAACTCGGAGATAACCTCTTTTCTGCATGGAAGGATCTACCTCTATTGAAGAGCCTAGAGCCGGCGCGAGTTTCGAGCCCCCCTTCAGCTGAGGAAGTCCGCAACATGATTCGGAAGCTGCAAGAGAAGAAAGCACAGCAGCGCGTCAACGACTTCATCGAGTTCGCCGCTCAGGGCAAGTGGGAGTACATGGAGACGATGCTCAAGAACAACAAGGTCACGGTCGATTCCGGGAACTGGGACTCACGCACGGCTCTTCACGTTGCAGTTTCTTGGTAGGCTACCAGTGGTACCTTTACCTTATTTTGTTTTTGGGTTATGGGGTTCCCTTATAATGAACCAACCCCAATTAAGGGGCGCCTTCTTTTTTTTTGGCAAGATGGTTAACTGGGCTACCAAGGTTTGTGAGGGCCACCTGCGCATCGTGGAGAGGCTCGTGTCCGACGCTTCGTTTGTTCGAGTACTTTGCTTAGCCTATAGTTGAGAACACACATCTTTTGTTGGGGGGGTCTCCTTATCTAGTAGGAATAATCAATAATCAAGTTTCACCATTTTTCCCGCTATTGGAGACGTAAGCAGATGTGAGCGGTGTGATGGCTAGCTATTGGCATGCTGAGGGCTTTGGTTTCAGGAGTCTCCTGCTTCGTACTTCGCAGTCAATCTCCAGAGGATTTGTAGAAGGTCTTGCGTGACGAGTATGCTCGGCACCTGCTTGCTGCTTGCTTGCCGAGTTCTATGGGGTTTCCATTGCTGCATATATGCAGGGGCTCGGAGAAACTACTAGGGGGTATGGAGTGGTGTGTGTTCACTTCAGTCCAAGTGTTGCCACCATGGGCCTCGTTTCGGACTGAAGTTTGATCCTAATCGGTTTCATTGCATCTTGACAAAGATTGACCTTCAGTTCTTACCATCACTTCCGTTTGTTGAAGACCCTGCCTAACATGAAACAAGAATCCTGAAACCCCCCTCCCCCCCCCCCCCCCCCCCATCCGAAAGATCGAAGCCTTTCCAGAAGCAAGTTCCTGAACCTCTCAACATTCCTTCTTCCCTCTTAATATATTGCGTGGGGAGTGTCTTAATACTTGGGGCCAAAGAGTAAACCCCATGCGAAACGGGACGCGCTCCTGATGTTGCGTGTTGGATTTATGTCTGCTGAGTTGCCCTAAACCCTAAACCCTAAACCGACCCTAAACCCTAAACCCGAAACCCTAAACCCTAAACCCTAAACCCTAAACTGGTCAGATGAACAGAGACTCACGGACCGACTTTTTTCTTTCGAACTATGGAGTCGTACCATCAACCAGCTATGCGGGAGCGAAAACAACGCAAAAGGCAGAATCCCTAAACCCTAAACCCTAAACCCTAAACCCTAAACACCGAACAGCACATCGAGGCAGCTGAATGTTTAGGGGTCTCTGGCTTGGGCCAGAAGGGCTTCGCAAACGAGTGAAGAAGCACAAAGCCACAAAGCCCCAACAGGGTTTAGGGTTTAGGGTTTAGGGTTTAGGGTTTAGGATTTAGGGTTTAGGGTTTAGGGTTTAGGGTTAGAGGCCTAGAAGTCGAAGAAGGACCTCAACACCCTCAAAACTCAGGAGGTTTACAAAAGGTCAAAAGGGTCCCAGACCAGCAGCAGAAGGGTTTGTCGCTTAGCATACCCTAAACCCTAGCCCTAAACCCTAAACTCAGGAGTGGAACGCTTCCCTCAGCGTGGAAGATCGCTTCGGGAACACGCCCCTGGACGACGCCGTGCGTGAGAGGCGGTCGGAAGTCGCAGAGTTCCTGATCGAGGCAAAGGGGGGTTAAGGCTTTACCTTGGGCTCTATTTGCCTACAGTTTAGGAGTAATTTCCCTGAATTTAGTACGTACAACCCATAAGTCTGTAGGTAAAGAGGGTCCCAGGTAGGGCTTAGAGTTTTCGTTTTTTTTTTCTGATGGTCGTACTTCCGGCAGCCTGAAGGTGCTCCGGAGTTTCCTGAGATCCCAAAGCCCAACCTTAACAACAGAACCCTGAATCCCAACCTTGGTACACCTTGAAGGCTGAGCCTTAGTTGGCCGAAGCTTAGGGTTTAGGGTTTAGGGTTTAGGGTTTAGGGTTTAGGGTTTAGGGTTTAGGGTTTAGGGTTTAGGGTTTAGGGCCGAAGCTGGCCAGGCAAACGCTGAGTTTGAAGGGGGCATTGCCGCGGCCGTGCAGTTGCGAGGCTCAGATAGCTGGCTCAAGTCACTTTTGGCTCGGCTGGGTTCAACTAAGGGTTTAGGGTTTAGGGTTTAGGGTTTAGGGTTTAGGGTTTAGTGGCATGGTCCCGTAGCTCAGAAGCCCCGAATCTCTTTGCCAACCACTGATACCTTGAATGCCTCCAGATGAGGGTTGTCCGAAAGGTCGGCTCATGTAATTAGTCCGCACGGTTGCCATTATAGGGTTTGGCTTTGTAGTGGGGGGGGGGGGGGGGGGGGGGGCGCGAGGGTAGGGCTTCCCAGAGCTCATCAATTCGAGCGCAAGAATCACCCTACTGACGAGTCCCATAGGAACAAGGATCCAGAGCAACCCCCCCCCCCCCCCCCCCCCCCCAAATGCTCGAAGCTTCCTGGCGCCAACACGCAAAATCTCTGGTGTGAGGGTGTGGGGCTTGTAGAGATTGCACGGCTTATAAAGGGGAGGGCAGAAGCCTCAAACCCGGAACCCCTGAACGCTAAACCCTAAACCCTCAACCCTCAACCCTCAACCCTCAACCCTCAACCCTCAACCCTCAACCCTAAACCCTAAACCCTAAACCCTAAACCCTAGCCCTAAACCCTAGAGCTGAGGGGGTTCCCAGCGGTCCTTTAAGGCTTTGTGAAGCTGGTGCCAATGGCGACACTCCACAGCTGGAGCTCCTGGTGGAGGACCTCCCTGGGCTGCGGTAGGGTTTAGGGTTTAGGGTTTAGGGTTTAGGGTTTAGGGTTTAGGGTTTAGGGTTTAGGGTTCAGGGTTCAGGGTTCAGGGTTCAGGGTTCAGGGTTCAGGGTTCAGGGTTCAGGGTTTGGGGGATCGAGACTTTATGAGGGCTTTCGGGCTTTAGGGTTTAGGGACGTTTGTGTTCCGGGCTCAAAAAAGGTTTTGGGTTTAGGGTTCTGGCTTCAAAAAGGTTTAGGTTTCGGGGCATTGGGGTTTAGGGCTTGCGGTTCTGGCTTCAAAAAGGGCTTAGGGGCTTTCAGTGTTACAGGGCTTAAGGATGTCCTAATCCCTAAACCTTAAACCTTAAACCCTAAACCCTAAACCCAACAGCCCGCCACGTCCTGCAGGTGATTGGAGTCGATCCGAACTTGGGGGACTACGACAACCGCACGGCCCTCCACTTGGCTGCGGGTCTGCATGGGGTTTAGGGTTTAGGGTTTAGGGCTGCATGGGAACAAGAGCCTTTTTTGAGTTTTTGAGAGGATCGAATCTCTTTCGCTGGATTTACAGGGGTTGAGGTCTCAGGGTTGGAGCATATTTCGGAGGGCCCTCAACTAAACTCCCAACACCCCCCCCCCCCCCCTCCCCCCTACCCCCCCGATAAGCTATTCCCTAAACTTATCAACCCTCTACAACTCCTAAACCCCGTACCCTCTACCCTAAGCCCCCGCTAAACCCTCCTAAACCCTAAACTCTTGTGATTTGGAGGTGTTGGGGGGTGAAGGCTCTATGGCTTACAAGGCTTTGGGCCCAGGGGCGGCTTTCGGGGTCCCAAGCCGTTTAGGGCTTAGGGGGTAGGGTTTAGGGTTTAGGGTTTAGGGTTTGGGGTTTGCGGTTTGGGGGTTAGGGGTTAGGGTTTAGGGTTTAGGGTTTAGGGTTTAGGGTTAGAATCTTCAGAAGCCTACTGCAGAAAAGGGCTTTGGGTTCAGGGTTTCGGGCTTCTTGTTCAGGACTTCTGTACCTGTCGGATGCTGGCACGGAGAAAGCACATAAAAGTTGAGCAGTCTCTGGGCACATGCGTAGCTTAAAACGTCGGGTTGCTTGTAGAAAGTTCGCGTCTTTTCGTGGTTGGGAGATCTGGAGAAGTCAGGCTGAATCAAACGGCCATTTGGAGACGATCACGCGTCTTGGCATCAGTTTATCAAAAACATAGCCGCAGAATATGTGTGTTTTGTTGTTCATATTTTTGTATGTTTCTTGGTTTATGTTTTTGTAAATTGGTTTTTCGGTGTTTTGTTAATCTTGGACATGGGCACGGCGAATTGGACATAGGCGCGTGCGTTCATTGCTGAGCAAGGTTTCGGACAAGCAGATAGACAACCCATTCCCCCAAACCCCAAACCCTAAACCCTTCTCCTTTGATTGCTCACGACCCTAGGGGATTCGGCTAAAGTCGACTGTTTATAAGGTTGTCGGTAGATTGGAACTTAGAAGTTGGGGCCATGTGTCCAAGCAGGGTTTAAGCTTCGGGTTTTAGGCTTTAGGGCACAATCGCCACTCAATCTGGAAATCTCCAATACAATATTAAGTTACTCTTGTCATTATGCACCCATACTGCATGTCAATCGAGGGGCCCAGGCGTAACTAGCCGCAACTGCCCTGAGAGCCAAGTGTCTCCCCGCATCCATGCTAAGGAAGATGCTTGACTTCCCGTTCTTGGCCCCTTGCTTGCGGTTTAGGGTTTAGGGTTTAGGGTTTAGGGTTTAGGGTTTAGGGGGTTTTTGTGATGAGGCAGCGTGCGAACAAATAGCCAACAAATACCTTGCAGGCAGGAAACGTAGTGCCCGTGTGAGCATGCGTCTGCTCGCAAGTGCCTAAGCAGACGTACATACCGTGGAACGTACGTGCGCATATAGTCATGTCTCCATCATTACGCGTGTTTCTTGTTGCTCCTAGAGTTTGAAGCAGTGCAGTCCCGAGGACCTCAGTCCACTGGACCGATTCGGCCAGACACCTCTGGACGATGCCATCCGTCACGAGCACGTGGCCGTGCAGAAGCCGCTTGGATGACTAGAGACCGAAAGCTTCCTTAGTAGCGACGAGCTCGACCAGGCGCGCTGAGACAAGCCTGTGCAAAAAGGGGAGGGAATGAGGCCCCTATGTCACCACTTAAAGGGATTTATATAGGGCCCTCACTCCCTCATCCCCTATAGCAAGAACCAGGGGGTAGTCTTCGGCCTGCGCCAAGCATCCCACCATTGAGCCCTTTGTCCCACGCAACGAACCCGGGCTTCCCTGTTAAACCCCCGACGAAAAAGAAAAAAAAAGGAGCCAGGGAGGGATTCAGGACTGGCATGGGGTGATGATTATTTTTGGTTCGGAATGATTAGTCATCGTGTTCCCTTGTGGCCCCTAGAGAAACAGCTCCCCCCCCCCTCCAAAAAACAAAGGCCCTATGCTAAGTCTCAAGGCCCCGTACTGTTAATTGAAGGGTCCATGTACCGAATTAGGAATTACTTGGGCCTTAAACAGCTTCCTCAGTAGGAAACCCTAAACCCGAAACTTTAGGGACTTTGGGCCCAAGTAGATCACAATATATGGTTACATGGACCCTTCAGGCCAGAGCTTTCGAGTCTGTTTGGAGCATGCGGGAGTTTACGATACCAAGGGGCCCCGAGGATAGACCCCCCAGAAATAGTAGGATTCCCTTCTTAATAAGGACCCCAAGAAGGTACTTCCATTTTCGGAAACCCCCATATGTATGTTTGGAGTATGACCTAAACCCTAAACCCGAAACCCTCAACCTAAACCCTAAACCCTAAACCCTAAACCCTAAACCCTTGTTTGAAGGATGTATGTTTGGAGTATGACCTCTGCCGAGGCTTCTCCGCAGCGAGGGCGCGCAGATGGGCGACTCATCCCACCTGTGTCTCCTCAAAGGGGCTCTCTGTGTGGGTTTGTCTTCAGGGTTTAGGGGGTTTAGGGTTTAGGGTTTAGGGTTGTTCTGCTAAGTGGTGGTGGCGTTGCTGCTTCTGGTGGGCCTTGGACTTGTTGGGTTTTCGGGGGCCCTTGGGCACGTGCTCAGACGTCCGAGACGTACGGCAGGCGGAACTCAACTCGGGCCCATATCCGCATGCCCTAGCTCCCACTGAAGCACCCCAAAGGCTCCAATGTAGTTCCTTTTTGGGTTAGTTATAGGGGATTCTAGTATACTACCCCAAAAAGGTACTACATCTGCCCTCCAAAAAAGGTACGCAGTACAGGGTACGAAGTTCTTCCCAGTCCGGGTGAGGATTCTTGATCCTTAAACCCTAAACCCTAAACCCTCTTAAGTAGATGATGGGCTGGAGGGGTGCAGGCTTGAGGCCTGCATCGCCTAACAGGGTTCTAGGAACCACCTTTAAAGAAGAGCAGAACACACCAGCACCTCCGAGTCATCATGAGTTTAGGGTTAAAAAAGGGTTTAGGGTTTAGGGTTTAGGGTACCCACCCTCCTCCCCCCAAAAAAAACCAACAGAATGAAAAAGAAAAAACCGTCCCTTCGGTTCCCAACTGTTCCTCAAGAGGCCTTGAATGCTTGTAGCCTGCAGCCCCGCAATTTTTCAATCCCTAAACACTGTTTAAACGCCGGTAAAATCCCATACCCTTTAAGCTTGCTAAGGCAACGTTGAGTTTGGGGTCGCCCTTTGCGAGGCGAGCATGAGCAGCGACACTTGATTGAGGGTCTAGGTAGGATGTGTAGGGATGTTTGTATACGGTATGTTCATGGTTGGGCTTAATGTGTAAGGATGTAGAGGTTGAGGGAAGCCGTGCTAGAGGAGGACTGGAGCATTCCCTGGATGGGACTCAAGTCAGGATGCACTGCGATGTCTGGATAGGGGGTGTGCCCTCACTATGGTTCAAGTCAGGATGCACTGCGATGTCTGGATAGGGAGTGTGCCCTCACTATGGTGTAGCTCATGAACGTGTGAGCGTTTGTGAGCCTGATCTTTATTCGCCGGGAACGGCCTTTGTCCAGGTTGATGTGGGCTGGTATGTTGCTGTGTTACGAGATGCTTTGTTTGTGTGTACCTGTGGTGTTTGCTTTGCTTTTCGATGCTGTCGGCTACAGCATGCAGAAGCCATGTCCTTTTGCATCCGTTCTCACGTACTTAAAGCCAGGCGCTGGGACGTTATTCAACTTTTTGTTGTTCCCAGGTGGAACCGAACCATGACTCTCCTTGTCACGACCTGATGCCAAGCAAGTGCCGCCGACCCCTCAAAAAGAATGTGCCAACTCTTTTTGGAATGAAGTATTCAAAACACTAGTCGGCCTTGCATTGGACATTCTGGGAGGCAGCAGCCGCAAACGACCACGTCACTTGGCATTGTCTTGAGTCATCTACAGTTCATAGATGTCGACCATTGTCGACCGCAGACTTCCAGGGTTGGTTGAGATCGGGATCTTCCCCCTGATACTAACAGTCCTCAATAGGGATTATGGTACCCCCTTATGATAATCTCGATTTAGGACTGTTACTATAAGGGGGAACATCCCTAAACCGTAAACCCTAAACCGCAGAATCTTGTGGGCTGTGTCACCAGAGAGTAGCCCAACCGAAGCCTTGCCGGCCTTGTGCGAGTGTGAGAGTCGAAACCCTAAACCCTAAACCCTAAACCCTAAACTACCCCTATGACAATCCCAATGCATAGCTGCTATGGGTTCTCGGCGGGCTTGAGTTGAAGGATGGGATGCCGAGCGCGAAGCCCCTTGAGTTGAGCCTCTTCCACCCGTGGGTTTAGGGTTTAGGGTTTAGGGTTTAGGGTTTAGGGTTTGGGGTTTACTGTATATGCAGGGTCACTTGCATGGATTTCATGTGATTTTGGCCTGCTGGCGATGCTACGCCTCTAAACCCTAAACCCCTATAACCCCCTAAACCCTAAACCCTAAACCCTAAACCCTAAACCCTTGCGAAACAAGATGCTACTTCAGGAGAAGCTGCGTCAGATGATCGACGCCGGCGTCAAGGCTATCTTGGCTGCGCTGAGTTGAAGGGCTTAGGGTTTGGGTTTAGGGTTTAGGGGTTAGGGGTTAGGGTTGCAAGCTTAGACCCAAGCCCTGGAACCGGGCAGTCTCATAGGCCTGGATGCAAAAGACTTGGCTTGAAGATTTAAGGGTTTTTAGGGTTTAGAGAAACGGTTTAGGGTGAAGTTTAGGCTTAGGTTTGGACCCTAAACCCTAAACCCTAAACCCTAAACCCTAAACCGTTGAGGCACTATAGGGACTCGGCCCCAAAGTGATTCTCGTCTTGTTTCCTTCACATCTTGGAACCTCATTTCGAAGGGGGCTCTTCGGGACTCAGCTTCGTTACTGGAGTCCCTAAACCCTAAACCCTAAACCCTAAACCCTAAACCCTAAACCCTAAACCCTAAAGGTTCAGGAACAAAGGTAGGTCGTGGGCATCGGGTGGGTTTTGTCATGATGATGTGGGTGGGGGCGCGGCTTTGCGGGTTTGAGGCTTGAGGCGCGCTGGGGCTTCGAGTCTGACAGCCTGTAGAATAGGTTTAGGGTTTAGGGTTTAGGGTTTAGGGTTTAGGGTTTAGGGTTTAGGGTTTAGGGTTTAGGGTATTCAAACCCTATCAACCCTAAACACCGCAAAAGACCCTAAACCCTGATACAACCTGGAGCGACCAGTTGGGGGGGTTCTCCGCAAAAAGGCCTCTCGGATTTGGGAATCGAGCTTCAGGGTTCGCCTAGGCACATATATAGTTGTCAATGTGAATTCAACTTAGTAGCCTGAGGGTTCTGGGGGTCTCAAATCCTGGGGTTTTGAGGGCCCGAGAGCCCTAGGGTAATGGAGGAGGTGTCTTTTGACCCTTTTTGGATGTTGCAATCCCTTTGTAATCCCAAAGGTTAGCCTTCAGTTCACCTGGGATACTGGACAGCTAGGCGAACCAAACAAATGGTCGCCCAAGAACAAAGTATCGGAAGTTGGCCTTTGTGTCTCTAGGGTTTAGGGTTTAGGGTTTAGGGTTTGCCCAAGAACGTCCGAGCCCTGGTCAGGCTGGTATGGCAGACTATGATTACCGAACTGCCCTTCACCTGTCAGCCTCCAATGGCAATCTGGACACTCCTTTTGATTTAAAGGCTTAGGATCTTGGGCTCTGGGCAGTCGAGTGCAGGAGGTGGTCTGCAGGGGCTCCCGGGCAGTTCGCACACCCGCTTTGATCTGGAATCCCGTGGTGATGCTTTCAATCGGAGTGCCCAGTCCATAAACCTAAGCCCTCCAGAGGTCTCGAGACTGAGCCACACTTCGTGGACCCTCCTTCCCAATCGCCTGCTCCCAGGAGACGTGTGCCTTCTTGCTTCGCGAGGGCAAGGTGGATCCTAATCCTCTTGACCGCTTTCTGCATACACCCCTGGATGACGCCGTGCGACACGGGCACAAGGCCAAGTGGATAGTCGCCCCCGAATCCTGAAATCCTGTTTCGTGTTTCAGTGAAGTGCGCCTGTATTGCATTCGCTCACTAGCTGTTACACCTCGCGAGATCCCCAACCACGACGACCACGAACCCCCTGTAAAGGAACGAATCTTGCCAAAGCCGCAGGATGTGGCGGAGCTGTTGATCAAGTTCAAGGGCCGGCCTTCCAGCGACGATGAGTACCTCAGCACAGTTCGCGATGAGTTCCTGAAGCAGACCCTCAGCTGCTATTTTCCGGCTAGCCTTCGAAGTAGATGTCTCCGATGTTCCGCGGGCTTATGTTTCTTTTTCCCCCCACATTATGGGTCCAAATAGGCTACAAAGAATCAGAAGTCCTTCGGGGTTGAAGCCTAAGCCCTAGGTCGTTGATCCAGTGTTGAACCACACAAACCCTGTCCCCGTTTACGCACTCCGCCGCACAAAGCTGCCTCCTTGAGAGGATGGAAGAGGAAAAGGCGCGAAAAGATACCGACAAGTTGGACAAGGAGAGTTTTGAGCCGCTTGAGGTCAAGGCTGACTCATGTCTGTAAAGCTACCATTCTTCTTGACCCTTGCTGCAGCTGAAAATTAAGGTCCTTCACACGAACCCAGCAATAGGAACCCAACAACAAGCACCGTCGTCTGGAGAACTGCCCTAAACCCTAACCCCAGTGGCTACAATGATTGGTGGGTTCTCGAATTGTCGATAATTTCTGGCTCCCTCTCTCTTTCTCTCTCGCTCCCTCTCTCTCTCTGTCTCTCTCTCTCCCTCTCTCTCTCCGATCAACGTGAGTCACCACGGCCGATCCAAAGACTCTTCGAGTCTGTAGCGTTCGGCATTGAGTTTGCGACGGAACCTATAGCAAAGCTGACGACTACACTGTCGCGTGTCTTCTCAGGCGTTTCGATAACACAGGTATGATTGACAACCGAGCTTTCTGGCACGCGACGAATCTTCGACGCATCAAGGCTCACGAGGAAGCCCGCTTACGTAACAACACGCCCGCGCTGCATGGGCAAAATTACGACTTACGGCAAAGAGGAGGCTGACGTTCACGAGCTTGATCCGACCATCATGCTTGCTGACCCACGTCGACTTTATCGACGAGTCCGAGCCCATTGCAGCACGGTCAGGGGCACCTTGACCCTATAGTTGTCCATGTACCGAAAATTCTATACCTGGGCCCCAAAGACCCTATGTAGGAATCTGTAGGAAGTACTTTAAGGTTCAAGTATTCCCCAGTTGGCTACATGGAACCTTAGGGTTGAGCCACCTTCGCGGTTCAAATCTGTCATGGCCGCTGCAAGTGCTGCTCAACAACGGCTTGCGCGACTGCGGCCTTCGCCGTACGCACGTCCAGTTCGCTGAACTCAGAGCTCGTGTTTACTGCATCGACGGCGCCGCCAATCTTCGATTGGCGCGGCTGATCGACCAGAGGTCGGCAAGGACGTGGTCGAAGAGCAGTGCAGCTCGTCGTATGCAACGTCGATGCTGAAGCAACCTGTCCCTCCCAGGGCTGCGGGTGCTTCGATCCTTCGCACATTCGAACTCGGAGTTGGCGAAGGATCCGAAGCTCGGAATTCCCTCTCGGCTCGATATGTAAAGTGAAGAACTTAAACCCCCTAAACCCTAAACCCTAAACCCCAAACCCTAAACCCTAGACCCTAAACGGGGGTTCTGGGCTTTTTTGGGGTGCTGGGGTTTTGGTGTCCTGGGCTTGCGGTGCAGACTCGTGTTTCACGTTGGCGCCTGATATTCGCTCTTTGGAGATGGTGCTGCAGAAACCCTAATTAAACCCTAATCTCTAAACCCTTATCCCTATAGACCCTAAACCCCCCGAAATCTCAGATCCAAAGCCTACGTCCGAAGCAAGACCCTCGGGGATGGTGCGGCAGAGAGAGAGAGAGAGAGAGAGAGAGAGAGAGAGAGAAAGCCTACGCCCCTAAACCCCAGCAAATACCGCGAGGAGCTGAAGACGCACAAGTTCTCAGAGGTTTTGGAGCGCCTTGCCAGGCTGCGGTCCGACCTCGAGGCTGCTTTTGAAGGTTTATATAAGTTTTTATATATATACACATATATATATATATATATATATTTGTATATTTATATATATATATATGTATATATGTAGATATATATAAATATATAAATAAATAATAAATAAATAAATAAATAAATAAATAAATATATATATACATATATATTTTCTTTAAATGGGCTTCAGGGTCATGGTGGGAAAGCGGGCTTCGGGGTTCATGTTTAGGCGCTTCTGTCAAAAAGAAGCATCGATGGGCTTTTCGCATCGACCTTCGGAGCCCCCATTTTAGGGTTTAGGGTTTAGGGTTTAGGGTTTAGGGTTTAGGGTTTAGGGTTTAGGGGGTGGTTACTCACTTTGTTTTAAACCCCCACCAAGATGCGCATAAGCAACCTGCAGAAAAGAAGAAGCTCTTCGATGGAGGGTTTAGGGATTCGTGGGTTGATGGCCTAGACGTGAGTTGGGAAAGTTGGGGAGATGAGGTCTTGAGCGGTTTATAAGGCCTAGGTAGTTGATCCCCCCAAAATAAAACTTAGGGTTCTGAGAGAGAGAGAGAGAGAGAGAGAGAGAGATCTCGCCAGCGAAGAAGAAGAAGAAGAAGGCAAAGAAGAAGGCGAAGAAGAGAGACTTCTTTTGATTTTCCCAGAACTGCGTCAGATGTCTTCAGGGGTAAGGGCAGACCATCTTTCCTTTCAGTCCGCCCTTCATGTACATTGTATGTGCGGTCAAAGGTAGATGTGGGGCTGCCATCATAGAGTCTGGTTTGAAGGTTCTCCATGTACCCAAATAGGGAATACTTGGGGCTTAAAGTACTTCCTATGTAGGGACTTTAGGGCCCAAGTATAGAATTTATTAAGGTACATGGACCCTTAGGGATAGGCAAAGCAAGCAGGACGACGTGTATCAGTTCATGACGTCCGCCTCCAACGTCCGATACGAGCTGTGCCGCATCCTCCACATGTCAATGTTCCTGCAGCCGGGCCGATGTTGAGACCGCTAAGCGAACAAGGAGTGGTGAGAGCCACACATGTGTTTTTTTTGCCTGCTATGTGACGCCATGTTCGACGTTCGTGTTTTCGGGTGTGCGTAATGTGTGTGTGTGTGTGATGGATGGTGTGTGCGCACGCACTGACGTTCACCCGTTCATCCGTTCATCCCCACATGCAGAATAGCAAGGGCCCTACGGTCGCCAAACTCCCTAAACCCTAAACCCTAAACCCTAAACCCTAAACCCTAAACCCTAAACCCTAAACCCTAAACCCTAAACCCTTACGCCAAGCTCCAGCGCCGGCGCAGCCCAGGCATGACGAGTCCAGTCGGACCCGGGCCGGTTGGGACAAGCTCACCCAACAGCTTCTTCGGCGTGAGAAGCCCCCCCAAAACCCTTTTAGCTTTGTGGTACTTTACTGTAACTTTAGATCCTTACCTCTTTTTACTGTAACTTTAGATCCTTACCTTTTTTGGGTTTATTGGGTTTCTTAATAAGGCAGCTAGAATTTTTAATTGTTAGCTACCCTCCTAAGTGCAGCCAAGACCTTTTAGGTCTTTTGTTGAGGGCTTATGGGGGCTTATAGGGCGTGTATGGCTTTAGGGCTTATAGGGCTTACAGGGCTTTTAGGGCTTAAAGGGCTTAAAGGGCTTATAGGGCTTATAGGGCTTGAAGGGCTTAATAGGGCTTAATAGGGCTTAACAGGGCTTAATAGGGCTTAATAGGGCTTAATAGGGCTTATATAGGGCTTATAGGGGTTAGGGGCTCCCAGGCGCAGCAGGAGCACCGACTGGAGCGTCCTTAGGGTACTGGGCCTAAAGAAACCCCACCCGCAACAAAAAGGGTTCATGGAGTTTATGGAGTTTAGGGAGTTTAGGGTTTAGTGGTTTCGGGTTAAGGGACTTTAGGGGTGGGATCCGACAGACGTATGGAACAGCGGGCCTGGGGGGGTCAGGGGTGCACAAGAGCCGCCAAGCACGTTTTTGCCATCATACAGGCATGCCTGTGGCGCAACTTTTCGCAAGTACAAACAAAAGCATACACGGGCTGCTCGCAGCACTGACTTCAGCTGTAACACAGATGCCCCCTGCAAGAGCTTGTGGACATGAAACCTGTGCAAAGGAACTGCGCGAGAATTCGCACAGAGCCGCCCCTCACAAAAAGAGTGTAAGGGCTCGCTGATGAGCGTGAGGCCCGCCCAAGTACCATTAACGCTACATAACCCCTTAAACTATACCCATAGTATGGGTAGTTCCCAAAATTGGGGTACCCCATTTAGACCAAAAAGAATAGAATCCCGTAAAGGGACCCCCAAGAAGGGTACCCCTAAACCCTAAACCCTATTTTCGGGAAGCCCCATATCCATGTTTAGCCGGAACCCAGGCTGGACCATGGCAGCCTTACTACGCAGAAGCTCGCGGATCTCTTGGAAAGAGACTTGCGCCAGTGACTCGCAAGTCCAGCAGTAAACCCTAAACCCTAAGCCCTAAGCCCTAAACCCTAAGCCCTAGACCCTAAACCCTAAATCCGAAACCCTAACCCTAAACCCTAAACCCAGTGGTCTTTTTGTACAGTTTACTTTGTCTCCCGGCCTCGAATCGCAAAGTTGTGTTGAAAAAACCTCTGAACAGAAACCTGAGCCGAAAGCTTTTACGAGCTTTTTAGAAACAAGGCTTGATAGCAGTGCCTCCCGGATCTTGAAGATCATCTCCAGCGACGTCTTCCCATGGCTCAACTCCGCTGGTGGCAACTTCCACACTCGCGGTTTAGTGTTGCTCCTCTTGCCCAACTTCTCAGACCACCTGTCGAAGTTGGTGGTGGCGCTGAACCATGTGGCTTGGCTGCTGAGGCTTTCGGGTTTAGGGTTGAGGGCTTAGGGTTCCAGCAAGCCACAGAGCTTCATGGTGTCCTGAAAGGCTGCCTGGATGACCTGACAGCTTTCAGAACACGAGAACCGGCAAGGCTGACCACACTGTTAGTGTCTCCGTCACGTCTTAAGAAGCCCCGCCAAAATTAATATGCACGCCCAAGTGCAACCTCGCACCTCGCAGATCCACGTGGATCCCTCATAATAACTGCCTATGCGCGGCAGCATCTGACGGGGATTTGCTGAACAATTCACTATGTATGTATAAGTGAATAAACACACACACACACACTCACACATATATATATATATATGTATATATGTATATATGTATATATGTATATATGTATATATGTATATACAACATCAGAACGCATCAGAACAGCCGAGGTGAAGGCATTGCTGCCCAGGCTCGTTTCTCAGATCGTGTCGCCCTCGGGCTTAGGCTACGACTGCCGTGTCTTCGGCTTGCTCTGCCAGAGGCGGGACGTCGCAACGCAGATTTAGGGTGTAGGGTTTAGGGTTTGCGGTTGAGGGTTGAGGGGTAGGGTTTGAGGCTTGTGCCGAGGTTGAGGATGTCAGGAGGAATCTGATAAAGCCTAAACCCCCAAGCTTTTAACCCATCACCCCCCCCCCCCCCCCCCCCCCCCCCCCCCCCCAAATTAAACCTCAAGTGTCACTGCGGAGATCAGCACACGACCCCTGAGGTTCTTGGGACCCAGGTGTGCTGAGAGACAGGACGGAGGGTCGGGTGTGAAGGGGGCCCTTCAAAAAGACCCTAAAGGGCCTAAACCCTGAACCCTAAACCGTGACTGTGTCCTTATAAGGCAGATGCATCTCCGCATCTTGCGCTCCGATCAAGGGTTTAGGGTTTGGGGGCCTATCAAATGGAAGGGTCTGATGTGTTTTTTTTCTCTCGGGGATATCCGCAATAATTATTGAGGCTCCTCCGCACCCCAGGAGCTACTGCAGCTGGCCATGGAGTTGATCACCAAGTGCAGCGGCGCCCTGGCTTCTCTGTTATAGGGTTTAGGGTAGGGTTTAGGGTTTAGGGTTGTGGCTCTGCTCTTGCTGAGCCTGACCGCAGTCGTAAACGGCGTAAGCGGGTTTAGGGTTTAGGGTGTTCAGGGCTCTTGGTAGAAAGGCAGAGCTAGAGTGTGAGGGCGGGCGCCCTCCCATCCTTGCCGGATGGTTTGTGGACATGTGAGCCCGTACAACCTTCCGGTCGTTGAGGGTTTGTATACGCTTGTAAAGTCAGACAAACGCTGCATGCAGACCCACTCCGGTTCATCTTGCCTCCAAGAGAACTCCTGGCCCCGACAAGGGCTGTGGGACACCGAATCTCTAAAGCCTATAAACCCGAACGCGGCCCGAAACCCGAACACCCGAACACCCAAAACCCTATTCACTACGTGTTCAGGCATGGAGAAGGTCACCCCGTGGCCAAGTGAGCAACGCACGAAAGAAGCCGGTGAGCTCTTCAAGGACATGTTGTTTTCACAGGTTCTGGAGGGGTCTAGGGTGTAGGGTTTAGGGTTTAGGGTTTTAGGGTTTTAGGGTTTGGGGTGTAGGGTTTAGGGTTTAGGGTACTCTCGAGCGCTGGGCGATTGTTTCCGCACGGACACTTGTGAGGTTAAGGACTTGATTGATTTCCAGATCCTGATCGCCCAAGTTCGGCACCCTTGCTTCCTAAACCCCAACCGTCCGGACCCGAGAATCTCAAGGCAAAACTGAAAGGACCCAGAGTACTTATTCCCATGTTTTAGGGGTTTGGGCTTGGGTTCCCTTGGAAGTCCTTCCAGAGTATAAGTCAGAAAAGGTACCCTGTTTAGTCACAGGCTTCTCTTGGGTTTCGTACTTGCCCCCCGAGGAGTCAAAGGTGGCCGAAACGCTCGCCCATGGCATGACGAAGCCAAAGTGGAAGCCTCCGAAGCTCTCATGCAGCCTCTGGTGGGTGGGTTCTTGTGTGAGGGTGTTTTAATAGCTGTAAGTTGCCATATAAGTGATATACTACTCAGGATAGAACTCTAATCTGAGATCGTGTCATGAACAGCAGCCCGGCAGGCTTTGGGGGTGAACGGTGTCTTGGGTGCCAGGATTGTCAGCCTTGGGTTCAGAGGCATGACACGTCACGGGTCGTATTTGGTGCCAGGTGGCCCAATCTGTGCAGCTGAAGAGCTGCCATGTGGAGGGGGGGGGGGGGGGGGGGTTGTACTCAAAGTTTTTTTCCGTCATGTGTGTGGCGTCCGGCAGTGTTGGTGTGCCTGCGCATGTGCCTGCGCATGTGCGTGCGCATGTGCGTGCGCATGTGCGTGCACATGTGCGCACACGTGCGTGCGTGAATGCGTGGGTGGGTGGGTGGGTGGAAACCTGGCCTTGATTCCCCTAAGTTGGGAGAGGCTATGAAGCCCCTAAGCAGCCAACCCTGCACAAAGACATTGCAAGATGGAACTTGAGGACTTGAGGGATGGATACCTTTTTGAACAGGATGTCGGTTTTCGGGGCGTTTACTTGAAATTGCAGCGCGGCTCCAGTTTCCGCACCAAAGGCAGCTACATTGAAACCTGAAGTGGCGGTTTACGAAGACAATGGGGACTCCTAATGTAGACCCCAAATAGGTTTCCTTCCCTTGTAACAAGGACGCTAATAAGGTACCCCTAAACCCCAAACCCTAAACCCGAAACCCTCCTAAACCCTAAACCCTAAAACCTAACCCTAAACCCTAAACCCTAAACCCTAAAGCCTATAAACCCTAAACCCTATAAACCCTAAACCCTAAGCCCTAAGCCCTAAGCCCTATGCCCTATGCCCTATGCCCTATAAGCCCTAAGCCCTAAACCCCACCCCGAATTTCGGAAGTCCCAAAGTCATGAAAGCCGCCCTGAGCCAAGGAGTGAGTACCTCAAGCAGACCGCAATGCAAGCCGCCGAGTCCGTGTGAACCAGGCCAGAGATGCAGGGTGCTGTTTGGGTTTAGGGTTTAGGGTTTAGGGTTTAGGGTTTAGGGTTTAGGGTTTAGGGTTTAGGGTTTAGGGTTTAGGGTTTAGGGTTTAGGGTTTAGGGTTTAGGGTACACCGCCTATGGCCAGCACGGTTCAAGGTTTGGGTTGGGACCGGTTG